TGTTTTCTTGTGGAAACACCACTTATACCTACATCTTAGGAAACATCACTAGAGGACCCTGTACCCTAAGCCATTTGAGTATTATATTGCCAGAGTCACAAGGATATGCAGCTGCTAGACCAGGGAGAGCTACTATGGTGGTACCAGAGGACTGTGAATTAGACATCACCCTACTCTCCAGAGCAGAAGCTTAGCTGTTAGCGTAGTTGTATTCCTTGTATTCAAGGGAAATTAATGCTCCAGCCTGGAACATGGCAAAGAGCCCTAATCACACTTATGCTGCTTTGCAAGAGTTGCTCCTTGCAGGGAACACGAAAGGCAGTACTTCAGAATGGAGTAGCCATAGATTATTTGCTTCTTAAACACAATTACGGTTGTGAACATTTTGAGGGAATGTGCTGTTTTAATCTAACTAATCATGCTACTTCCATTCAGTCATATATTCACGCTTTCATGAGCTAGCTTCAGGAATTAAGCAAAATGTTTCTTTTAGTTTTTGGGGGGACTGTTTATTTGGGTGGCTACCTAGTATGGGAAGCCTAAAACAGATTATTGGAGTCTGTTGCCTGATTATTTTCTGCTCCTTTTTGCAGTGTATTCCTAATCTGTTGTTGATGACAAGATCCTTCACTCTGCCTCAAGAAGCTAAATCGATTCCCAACACATTCATCAGTGTGATTGAAGCTCACCCTCTGACCTGAAGTAAACTACTTTACATGTTCCAGGGGAAAGGTAACCGCCACCAAGATGCGGGATCCCTCCCAAGATGCAGGATAAGGACGTCTAATCCCAATCCTGTCAAGAAAAGTACCTTGGACTATAATTAATCTGTCCAGTATATGGACAAGAGGAGGGACTGTTGTGACAAGATTAGCCTAAAGGCAGCCATTTTATGTATCTTAGTAGGTTAGAGGATTTCCTTAGATTTACAGGAACTTATGTAACCAATGTTCTTGTGTAATGTTTCTTTGCCCACACCTTTGGAATGTACCATTTTGGGAGTATGCTTCTGTTCGTGTCATAATTAATTACAAAATGTCAACTGTTATCTATCCCAGTACCTGTCTGTACCATGCTATTCTACACGCATCTGTTCGTTTCACTCTATAAAAAGTTGCAGCACTTTACAATAAACAGAACAGCTTGATTACCGAACCTGAACTGTTCTCTGTGTGCACACGTACTGGAGTTCAATGTATGACTTGGGTTCTGCCATAACATCACTCAGCTGTAGATCCTCAAATCATCTCTGAATTGGTGCTGACACGGTACTTCCTTCTGGAGGGTGGCTACTTTTATTCCCCATGGTCCCTGTGTATGTTGTAAAGTAGTCACCGCTCCAAGTTCAATCCTGTGATAGACTACAATCTCAATACAAATGAGTAAACCTTAACGTGAGATTGGAGTCCATCACAGGAGCGAGCTTGAAGCAGTGGCTACTGTAAATCATTTACAGGTACCATGGGGAACAAAAGTTGCCACCCTCCAGAAGGAGGGATGATTTGAGGATCTACAGCTGAGTGATGCACAAATAAGTTATTTTTTTTGTTAATAGTTAATACTTGAATGTATTTGTAAGATTTAACTCCTGAGCGTAGTGTCACTTTGATTATTATGTATATAGACTTGCAGGACCTGCAAGTAACCACTAGATGGCATCATATATACACAGAAAGTTTAGAGAAGGTTACATAAAATACGGTTAAGTACACATAACTATTCTTTCAAAAACTGATATATAACAATATGTAATTATGTATTCATTAAATTGTTTTAACTAGTTCTGTTATGTCATTTGTAGGATGGGTGGTGGCAGAGAAGATATTAGTGTGTGCATTTGTTGTTGTACGGATGCTACTTTGTGTCCCAGATTAGGGGAAACTTTAGAGGTTTTAGCAAAAAGTATGTGCGACAGATGGCAATACCTGGAGATCCCCTCCTCCCTCCCCCATACCAGTACCCCTTACCCAGCCCTCCAGTCTGTGACAAGTTAATTTCTTCAAATTATTATTTAAATAAATAGCATTTGCTGCATTTTGAAAAAAGGTATTATTTTTCCTTTTGCCCTTTAAAAAGCCCATATCTGGCCAAAAATAAAAACTTCTAAACCCCAAACCCCTCCTACTCCCACCCATCACCATCTTTAAGAAAAAGAAAACCCCACTGTTAATGCAATGTTTTACTTAACTGAGTCTGCTTTCACAGGACTTTCCAAGGTGGAGAAGAGTGACCCATGGCTGAAGTATAGTCTTGTTGCAATCCTTCACATGAAATTATGTTGTTGTACCTTGAAGAATGGGCATTCAGCCAGTGGCGTAACAACTGGCGGGGGGTCGGCGGTGCGGCGCCCCCCCTGGTCCCTGTCCCTCCTCCGTGTCACAGACTTTACTGCAGTTCATTGTACAAAGTTTTTACAATGAACCGCAGTAAAGTCTGTGACACGGAGCTGGGCAGAGCAGAGTCGGGAGCGCTGCTTCGCCTGCGGCCTGGTACCATTTGATCCGCGGCCCGGGGGTTGGGGACCACTGCTTTATGATCATCCCTCTCTTGTGTATGTGAGTGTAGGTAAGTGGCATAGATCATTTTTTTCTTTGGTTCTCACAAAGTATAAGATCGTTTAACCAGCTGACCAGGGGCATTGCTAGGACTGTGATAGACTTAGCAGCACTCTTGGGCACTAAAAAAAGAAGGAAGCACACACAGCAGCAAATTGTAGGTGTGTCAAACTTGTGTGAACAGTGGAGGGACTTAAAACTTGAGCCTACATACTATGTAAACAGTAACATATAACACAGTCTATGTACCCACAAAATCCGCATTAATTACTTTGCCACAAGTGATTCTACAGACACCTACAAATCTTAGCACAATCATTTGTAAAGATTGAATCTCTTCCATTACATATTCTTTCCTGCAGACACATCCACAGATCACCTCTGCTCCCCCCTCCACACCCCTATCCACAGCTTAAAGCAGAACTATGGGGTTAAGGCTTTTCTCCATAGTTCTCCTTAGGGTAAAGGCAGGACACAAACTAGCGTCCTCCCATCACCCTAGGCCCAGTATACTGCGAGCTGTAGCTCGCAGATTACTGAGACGCCGCAGTATACCGCGAGCTGCTGCTCGCGGTATACTGGGACGCTGCAGCTGAAGTGGATCCCGACAATTGTGCCGGGATCTGCCCAGCTGCGTGAGTGACAGCTGGCTCTGCCTATCTAGAGGCAGAGCCAACTGTACCCGTCCCCTCCCCCGTCCGTTCCGCCAGTCAGCGCTGGCGGATCGGAGAGGGGGGAATCCAGCACCTCCCCTGTCACGGCAGAGAGCCGCGACAGGATCGAGAGGTGGGCGAACGCCGGTATGTGTTCGCTCACCTCCCGATCTACTGAGCCGACCTGTGACAGTCTCATTGTCACAGGTCGGCTAGAACTATGAGGTGAGTGAAAAGCACTCACCTCATAGTTCTCCTTTAATTCTGCACCCCCTGTTCACAGATCACCTATGCACCCTCTTCCACTGCTCACCTCTGGACGCTCGTCCACAGCTCACCTGCTTCCCATCCCCACCCACAGCTCAATTCTGCACCCTTATCCGCAAGTTACGTCTGCACCCCCCTCCACAGCTCACCTCTGGCACCGTTCCCCCCTCCTATTTACAGCTCACCTCTGCATGTCCACAGCTCACCTCTGTACCCTCTGCTGACAGACCAGTAACTCCCATGCCAGCTCAATGCTGCACCCATATTAACAGCTCTCCACTCTTTCACAGCTCATATCTACGACCCCCCACTGCATCCCATCCAAGGCTTACCACTCTGCTACAGTTTACCTCTGCAGCTTTTGTACCCCTCACTACACCCAGCTGTCTCCCTACTTCCAGCAGCCAGACTGGCCCTTTTACCCCCCTCCCCTCATGACCCACGGTGTGTGACAATAGGCTTTTTCAATTGTGCACATGTCACTGGCTCCTGCCTGTAAAGATGTTAGTGCTGCTTGGCGTAAATGCCACAGCTTCATCTTATCCATGGCAGCAAGGTAAACATGGCAGATGGCAGTGGCCTGATATAACTTAAATAAAAATAACTAGACATGTGCGATTCGGTTCGTTCCGAAATTCGTTTTGGACGAATTTTCGGAAATTCGGAGATTCGGATGCATCCGAATTCCGAATTAAAGCTAAGACGAATGCAAACGAATCTGAAATTCCCGATTTCTCGAAATTCGTTATTGGACAAATTTCGTTGCAGCAAAACGACATTAGAAAAAAAAATTACAACATTTACCTTCTACACCATTTCTATAGTTAAAGTACAGAAGCAATAGTGTAGAGGTTAGAGCACAGAATTGCCATTGTCAAGGTCGCAGGTTCTAGTCCCGGGTAGGGATAAAGTTTTTTTTTTTTCTTTGCTTTTGAATTGGCATTCTCCTATTGACCTAAATGTCATTTTTTTTTCATTTTGCTATTGGACAAATTCCGTTGCAGCAAAATGAAATTCTTTTTTTTTTACAGACTGCAGAAAATGAAAAAAAAAAAAAGCTACAGACTGATTATTAAAAATGGCTCCATCGATGTAATCCAGAGTCAGGATCAGGATGCAGCACCCCCGCCGACCCGCCAATATATAAAAAAAGTCACGCCGCAGACGACCACCCGAATCCAACGAAAATTTGCCGCAAAAAATGACAGATGGGCGGAGCGAGCCATGACGTCACGGCTAGAAACTAAACTAAACAAATGTTTTGCTGGTGCACATGTCTAAAAATAACTAGTGTTATGCAGGCTAGCAAGTCAGTGCTCAATAGTGCATTAGTGAAAGCTCAGAGACTCTCTCTAATGTCACACAAGCACATCTACTAAAATCTTAAAAAGTATGTAGCCTTGATTGTATAACAACATATCTATTACATTGCACATAATAATAAAAAGAAGAAAAATCCAACAAATAATATTGCAATTTTTTTAATATATATATTATTGGTATCCTTGAATTGGAGCAAACAGTTTTACTTGAGTTTCGCAAACTCTCCATGGGCTTTGTTTTTAAACCTGAAGACAGATAAACAGAAGTTGTTACAAAATTTAATTTTAACATCTAATAAAAGACACAAGATGTTAACAGATTAAATAGAACTCGTATAGAAGAGATTCCTCCATCTACGCTAAACTGTGTGGATGGAGTAATCTCCCACTGCGCCAAGCTTCAGTATCTTACTAGTCGGCCCCGCTGGCTGTCAAAATACCTGAACAATCTGATTGGATGCAGGCATTGTTCAGGTATTTTGAGAGCCAGCAGGGCCAACTAGCAAGATACTGAAGCTTGGCCCAGTGGGAGATTCCTTCATCCACACAATTTAGCATAGATGGAGGAATCTGTTGCACTTTTTCCATCTGACCATGGAAAATCTGCAGATAATCTATAGGTGTATGGCCAGCTTAATGGTGTGTATGCTTTACCTGCAGCTGAGTTGCTGCTTCTTCTAAAAATCTTTATTCACTGCCCTCTTCACAGCCAATTAGTGGGTACAGAGGGCAGCCTTGATGTCTGCTGCTTGTCAGTGTAGAGGCAGAGAGTGCTTTATCAACCCTCACTTATGTTATTTGAGTATATCACATTTAGCCGCTAAAACATGTTTATCCTCCAGAGCAATACATTTGAGTGTTCGTTTTAGAAACCAGTTTACCCTGTCAAGGACTTTTTCTGCATTGGATAAGAGTAGCATAGCTAGGATATCCTTAAATATGGCTATGTGGATTAGATTTAATGACTTGTAGATGTTATCCTCGGCTTCTCTACTTGGCATACAGTCCACTTGATCTTGGTGAATAATATGGTTTCCATGTGAGTATTACAGATCAGCTGCAAAGACGATATGGTACCTTTGGTTCTACAAGCATGTGTTCTGTTTTTGCTTTTGTGCTGCACAGTGCTAGCAGCTATGGGCAGTGCCCATCTCATCTGCTGATTAATATGCCTTGCTTTTTGGCCATTTAGTGCCCTGCATCCCAATTCCTCATATTATTTAACCCACGGTCAGTCCACCTCCCATTGCATGAGCAATATTCTTATTGGCCTATTATTTTGAAAAAAACTGACTATGTCTGGAATTATAAGCCTTGTTCTAATGGCCAACTCCCCAGCAGCACATACTCACCTGTCCTTTCCTACCCCACTGCTCTGTTCATCCACCTGCAGTGATAAAAGGAATTCCCGTGTAAGTTCTAAATCACTCGCTTCAGTTTGCTCATTTTAAAATGAGACAAAGAAGCTGATGGGTTGCAGTGCAAATCTGCTCCAGATTTTGCCGGCTCCAGTTTTGATAAATTCCCCCCAGAATATTTTCTGTGTTGCCAGTGGTTGAATTATGTAGTACAAGAATTAAGATTGTCAGCCCACAAATGTTATGGGCAGCAGCAGAACAATAATAATCAGGGAGAAGAGGCCTAACCAATGTATGCCTTTTATTTTTACTATTGGAATAGGGGGTTGCGGTGAAAGTGTATTATATGAGACAAGGTGTTTAATGAACAGTTATATTAACTGAATCCCGAATTTCCTGGGTAATTTCATATCTAAGACACATGCATCCACTGGGTGCTGGGCACAACAAGGTTTTGCTGATCCACAAAAACACAGGGCCAGATGAAATACTGTAGGTATTGACATGCATGCTACAGTCCTACTTAAATTATGATAACCACATTATTTAAATATTCCTACAATAGATATCTCATACCTTTAAACTATCTTTTATAGTTGTTGGGCTGCTGTGCCTAGAATCCTGGCATTGTTGACCATATGCAGATGCATTTTCAAAGTTTATGCTTTGCACCTAGAGCCAAGACACTTTTTAACTTAAAAAAAAACTTTAAAAAGTATAACGAATATTTTATACTGTGGTGAAGAGCTTAAATGTATTAAAGTAAACAATAAGTATAAAAAATGGTCATTTACATGTTCTTCTCAATGTTTACAACAATAGTACCAGGCAATTGAAAACAATCTGTACAAGCAATAAAATGTTTTCAACAACACAGGCACACAGAGAGATACAATATCCTTCCAGATTAAGTGTTACTCTAAAGCAAAAAAAAACAATCTTAACATCTATTTTTTCCACATGATACCCTACATTCACAGTGTCATGATGCAGATAGCAGCACTGATTATGTCAGCATCACTCTCTGCATCATTGAGGACAGCCCACTACTGCAAGAAGATCCAAGGAGAAAGAGAACCTTGTGCATCACCTGAAGAGATGACTGCCTTTAGGTCAGGGGTCTCAAACCTCCGGCCCTCCAGCTGTGGTGAAACTACAAATCCCATGATGCATCTCTCTTCGAGAGTCATGTCTGTGGCTGTGAGAATCTTGCAATGCCTCATGGGATTTGTAGTTCCACCACAGCTGGAGGGCCGGAGGTTTGAGACCCCTGCTTTAGGTGATCCCTTAAGACTCATCTCTTCAGGGAAGCCTATCCCACCTCAACCTAACCACTGAACCATCACGTTCTCAAACAATTCATCCCCACACAGCTCCCTCCTCATGTATCACTTTTCCCTCCCTTTTAGATTGTAAGCCCTCGGGGGCAGGGCCCTCCTTACCATCTTGTTTTGAATTGTATTGTGATTGTAATGGCTTCCTTATATTGTAAAGTGCTGTGCAAACTGTTGGTGCTATATAAATCCTGTATAATAATAATAATCACGTGACCATTCTGAAGAATGTGTAAATGTTTTGTAAACAATCCATTGTTTATTTACCAAAAAAAAAAACTAAACACTTAAGGCTTAATTTATAAAACTTATTGTTGGTTGAAAACCAGCTCTGTAACCAAGGAGTAAGAACATCACAAACATGATTACATTCTACAAAGTATGTTTAATCTTGCTATATCTGATGTTCTTTATATACAGTTTTTTTCAAAAGATAAAGACTAGCCTATAGAGCATAATAATTATACAAGATACTATTCACTATGAGGTCCATTTATGGGGGATTCCCCGGGAAATTCACCCAGTAATTCTTATACTAACTCATGTGACATTCACCTGAATTTGCCTGACATTCCACAGATCATTCACTCTATGTAAGATAGGAAGATTGTGGACCAATAGAACAGAAGCTGGAATAACCATCAAATGTTATATGTTGAGTGCATATAAAGCATAGTTTGTATCCTGCAGGCGAATCTGTGAAAAATATGTGCCCCTCCGAGAACTAACCAGACTGGCATGTCCGGGGTTGTGGGGTCTCACCAGGGCTGTGTGCAGTGTCATGAGGGCTGTGCTGTGTCACCAGGGCTGTGTGCGGTCTTACCAGGGCTGTGCAGGTGGGGTCTCCCCATGGCTGTGCAGGTGGGGTCTCCCCATGGCTGTGCAGGTGGGATCTTCCCATGGCTGTGCAGGTGGGATCTTCCCATGGCTGTGCAGGTGGGATCTTCCCATGGCTGTGCAGGTGGGATCTCCCCATGAAGATGTGCAGACTGTCGCTGTAAGCAGTGGCACGAGTTCCACAGAAGGCTGCCCTGAGGTCCCCAGCAAGCGCGAGGCAAGTGTCCGCCCCCTGCGCTGGAGCAGCAGAGAGAGGGGAGGAGGGAATCCCTGCGGGGAGCAATGGCTGACAGTCATCGCTCTCTGCAGGGAGAAGATGAGATACTGACTCTGAGCAATCAGCGGTATGTGATTGCTCAGTTCTCCATCAATAGAGCCGGCATGTGCCAGCTTCAGTGTCACAGGTTGATTCTAATTATGAGGATGAGTGTATTTCACTCTCCCCATAATTCACCTTTACTAGATTGACCTCGGTATGTACTGTATGCATATCCAACATACCATATCGCAAAAATACATTTCTCAGATTACAATAAAAAAAAATATATTTAACTTGCCTCATATATAGGTAATGCTTTGAATGTTAAATTATATTCTCTTGTCCCTAATCTGGAACTGTCCAAGAATCTTTGTGCAACCTGTTTCAAATCAATAAATAACAATGTCAATCATTAAAATTCATCTTTTTTTTTAGCCTTGCATAGGGCAGGGGATGGTTAAATTATGTGAGGAGATTTCCCCTCAGAGTTTTCCAGTTTAAGAGACACAACAGTATATGATAGGAAATATCCCAAAAGTGAAAGAAAATCCCCTCTTGGACAGATGTCACCAGAACAGGTGTCCACATTGAAAAAAATTCTCCTCTATTCCTGTTCTGGTAACAACTGTAAGGTTTTGAATTTTCATCACTTTATGTCTCAGTGACAGTGGTCATTAGGACAAAGCGAGAGATTGAATCTCCTCAAACTTAACAAGGGTCCTCCCCTTCTCTATCCAAAACTATAAACGTTTTGACTATAGACACATGTTAAAGTGTACAAAGTCCAGACAAAAAGTTGCCCAAGTGGGTGCTCAAAGGGATAATGACAGATGGTGCTGGGCAAAGACCAGATGGGAGAATACAGAATCACCAGCACTCCAAAGAAATGTGTATCACAGATATATTGCGGGGACCCACAGGACAAGTGGTGAGGTGATGTAGTCACTATATCACCTTGAGTACAAACTCATAGCATGTGCACATATACATATATAGTTGTGACGTTTGAATGCAGTTTGCTACACTTAGGGGTTTGTTCATAAAAGTTCTGCCCAGCGTATAGTTGGGCAGATGCCATTCTCACAGCACTGCCACCACTAGATGGTAATGACACGTATAGGTATTTCCTATAACCATCAGTGCTGGACAGAACTTTTATACATGAAAGCTTTGCACTGTGATCACATCTGTTTAATGACTTGTGGGGAGAATTGTGGTTGTCATTTTTAAATGCAGCAGGCTCTGGGTTTAAGTTCCATGAGGAATTCTACAATTCCTTTTCTCAAAAGCCAAAAAAACATATGTTTATCTTATTCGAACCTAGTGTGTGCAACGGGATGCTTGTGGAAGTGGCATTAGGTCATAAGTCACAATATTAGAGTGGTTGATATGAACAATGCCATATTTTCTCTATAGTGTAATATGTATTATATTTAGAGGCTACATAAATGATTGAACTACATTTAAAGCAGATAGCAAGCTTAGTTGAAATGTACATGATACCATAGTGCAAACACAGCACTATATCAAGCTGCTTTCAGTTTGCAAGATATTTGGTCAAAATGATTGTTTCTATTAATTGTGCTTCTAGGATACAGTGCTGTCTATTTTACATGGCCAATTTTTAAATCTTGTATGGACATACAGCACACTTTAACAAATATGTTATATAGTCCAGTATGCAATTTTTACAAGTTATTCATGCTTTAATTAACTTTACTATTATTACTCAGATCCATAGTATTTCTATGATATGAAATACAAATCTGCACATCTGTAATACAAGTGTAACTTTGTTTTTGCTTATTAATTTCCTTCAAGGACCTTGTAAAAGTTTTAACTGTGCCCTGCATTCAAGGTCATATTCTTTAATGTAAAGTAATGAGAAAGGACTATGAGGAATTAGATATTTGTCTAACTATTTCAATATCAAAAAGACGGGCATAATTCCCCAGTACCAAACACCACAAGATGTCATCACTTTTTTTTTCTTGCAAAAGTGGCTCATATATCACCCTGGAGTCCACAGACCTGATTACATACTATATGCTAATCTCAACCTGGAGCACATATCCTCCCTGCAACCATCACTACAAACTAGGAATGCACCAATACTTTTCGAGTACCAATGCCGATACTTGGCATTTTCACGAGAACTACCAGGGTTGCAACCGGGACGTGGCTCTGGTGCTCCACCACTGTCCTGAAATCATTAGTCTGTATTGTTTTAGAAAAACTGTCACATGACAATAAACAAAAATGTATCAGTACTCGTACTTGTAAGTACTTGGGCAAGTACCAGTACTTGCACTCACAAAACTGGTATCGGTGCATCCCTTTATTTATATTTATAAAAACATAATCATACATTAAAACAGAGATGTACAAATCCCAGGAGCTCTGTATGCTCCTTACAAATGACAGCTGCCTCCTAACTTTTGAATTTTTCTCTAGTCTAGTCTTGGAGCTCGAAAAGTATCGGTACATGTACTCGTACTGAGTACTGTACTTGGTATCGGTGCATCCCTACTACAAACCACACAGCACAGTAGACTATAGAAAGGCACACATATGGGGTTGTGAGATGCAGGAGGTGAGCACTGGAAACTTTGCTTCAAGTTGGATTTAGCATTTGATGCGTGCCAGATTTGGAACCTACAAAAGCTACTTTTCACATCTGTTATTTGGGAGTCAGTTTGATGTCTATTTTTTCTGACCCATTTGCCTAATCTTAATCTATGTGCCTACCAAAAACTATGCACATTATAGATAGCAGTATTATCTTCCATTTTGTAAAAATCACTCTAAAATAAAGGGTGATTGACTTATAAATGTATCTTGGCTAATTACATTTTTGAAAATGTAATTCACATGAATGAAAACCCCAGTTCTGGTAAAGAATATCCGCCACATAAGCAACATACATTGCAAGGATTTCAGCAAATTGTGCTCTGCTGTCTCTTTAGCTAACCCACAGTGCTTTAAAAACACTTTGTCATGTATTAAATATATATTATATATAAATATTTGTAATACAAATATTGTATCCAATAAAGAAAAAAAAGATATAACATCAGTTTAAAATATGTAATCTTAAAAAAACATGATCCAAAACCATCAAAACCATTATACTTTCCTTTTAAGTACACATTTTTGTTTAGTTTATTTTTTTTCAAAAGATATGTATATAATAAAAATAATGTTCAGAAACCAGACATCAGCATACAGTAAATATTATTAGTACTACTTACATTGGGAGACGACAAGCATTTGAAATACTTCACACCCACACAATCTTCAGTAGAGTCCTGATGTTTAGTAAGTGATTTAAGTCTGTGAAAAACAATATAGTAAAAGACTGTTAGATTAACATAACATTGATTATCCCACAGAAAAATCTCACCAATCTCATACATGAAAACACATAACAAAATAAAAATGATACTCAAATCAAAAACTCCTCATGTATTCCAGGCATACAGATTCAGACCAATTGCTTTAGATTGATTCAGAAAAATGTTTATTTGCATCTACTTCTGAGTCAAACTGTGTTCACTGCTCTGCAAATCCACACTGAGGATAAGATTCCGTTAAACTCTATATGGACCTTGCCTACTACATGCACAGAAGGCTTTAATAGAAACCTAGCTAAATTAACCAGAATTACGTGCTTTAAGCTTCTTTCAGGTTGCTTCCGTATGTGTATAGAAAAGTACAGTATATTATTTAACAGTTTCAATTTGATCTAAGTGTAGAGGTCTAGTCTCAAAGTAAGGAACAAAATGCGGCACAATCACAAAAATCCTCTTATTTACTAAATCACTGGTAGAAATATTATGTATAAAAAACTGATACATCCTATCTTATATACTATTAAAGCTAAGGGCTGCTATCACTTTTAAATTCTGATAATTCTGCCTCCAGTCCTAAAATCCCATTCCCAGAACTTCTATTGACCTTTATCCTGTATCCCAACCAACAGCTTACACATATTAATTCCCAGTATCCATGCCAGCCATGGGATGGCCCCACCAGTACACAGAGCTATCCTTCCAATATGGTTCCAGTAAGAGAAGAGCACTACTTGTTTCCTGTCTAAGATGGAAGACTTCTTGTACCCATTTAGCTTACACCCTTAGTGAGTATACTTCCATCTCATTCTTTGTTATTTTAATTGATGTTTACATCCCCTCCCTGCTTTCCTTTGCAGTAGAGTACCTTCTGTTTCTTGTTAGCAATACCGTAAGCATCCTACACTTAATTAATTTTACACCCACACTGTTCATACACCACCTCCCTTGTTGCTGCCTTTTGCCTGCATATATTGGCTGCTGACATATCCTCTACAATACTCTCCCACACATATGCTGTACCAATATATCCTCCTCATTTTTCTTACAAGGTACAAGGCCAAGTCTTCAAATACTCATAAACTGGCTGCTGGCAGTAATAGAGGTGTAGAAGGCCAGAGGTGACCAAGTCAATGTAGGTTGGTAGAAAAGAGCAACCGAAGAAGATTTCCATATCACTTGCAATAGGGAGTGGCAGAAACATGTTACCTCAAATTGAATGCCGAAAGAAAGAGCACAGAGCGTACACACGCCACATTCCACCTAAGGGATTACATCAACGTTAACCCTTTCCGCAGTAAACCAAAAGAAAAAAATAGGAGTAATAATTGTGCCTAATGGTCTTATTAACAAAGTAGTTGCCAGTGTACATGGCCCACCCACAAAGTTAGTATTCAGAGACTGGGTCACACCAAAAGCTGTGCCACAGCACTGGACATGGAAAGACATCTGTGGCTCACTACCTACTACACAATGCGGAGCCCAGTGACTAAAGCTGACATTACAGACTGGCCCCATGATTGTCCATACCCGCAGGGTTCAGGTACGGCCTCCAAAGCTATTGCTGAACATACAGTATGTTGACCTGGATAGCTATGCAATCTGTAAGAGCATCTTAATTGAAGACAAAGTAATGATCTTAACGTGGAAAAGAAAATGGCCAGTAACAAACAGTTATGCTTTTCTCAGAGAAAACATGTCCATCTTCCAAGCACACTAGCAAAAATGTCAGTCATGCTGGGACCTGGAGGAGTTATAACAGGCTGGTCTCTTTTTTTTGGTTGCTAGTGACCAAATCCTCCTGTAGGCAACAGTATAACACTAGTGTCTCTAAAGCCTATGTTGCTCAATGAATGAGACCAAAATAAATATTATAAGTTTGATACATTTATGCATATTTAAAATTACGGTGGCAAGTGTATTTTTCAATGTTCCACTGACTTTAAATTCATTTATCTAATCAAAAACTAAAAAATTAACTTGTGAAACATCTTTAGCCAAAAATGGCTACTAATGCAAATCAATAGAGGAAAATCAGAAGAAGTTCCAATAAGAGTATGGGCATATAAACCTTATTATTGTTAGGGAAAAAAAACTTTTTTTCTTTAAAACAATTTTTCTTATTTTACTTACTTATCCCTGTCAAAGATTAATGTAAGATCACATTGCCTCTGTGTCCACAGGTCAGTTTTTCCTGATTGGTTCTGCAAAGGCAGCTCATTTACATCACAGGGTTGAGTAAAATGAGGAGGATTAATCAGCTCATAAATCCTTCTCTGTCCAAAATAACCAATGTAATTTCCACTTGAAGAATGCCACAGTCTACAAGGAAAATGATGTTAAATCACGCCAGGTCATAGCACAGAAGTGATAAGAAAAGCTTGCCAAAGCATACCATAAACGTACCTAATGGAGTCATCATCTGAAGCAGATACTACAACATTTTTATTGTCCTCAAAAAACAGGCTGATGATTTTCATAGAATGTGCCCGCCAGCAGAGTTCTTGTTTTAATATCTTAAGGAATAACATTGCATGAATATTAGACTTTAGAACATTAACATTTTGTTTAATATTGTTTATTAAATAGGCAAATTAACTATTATAATCTGGAATTGCTGGTAAGATCTGGTTAATGTTATACCATATCATGGGAGCAAAATAACCACTGATATTCTACACATCTATTTTCCAGTAACATTTAGATATGGGGAAAATGCCAAGTTTCGATTACAGTTGCTCACCGCTACTGCACACAGTCATGTCGTTGCCTCCTGGCCCAACCAAAATACTTGTGATGATGGTTATCTATGGGTAATATGCCTTCAGGGATAGAGTTATAATGCTTTCAACTCAAACTAATTTTGTGATGCCCCTCAATATTGTGTAGGTACACTGACATAAGCTGGAATATCCCTATTCCATATTTAGTGGGCAGCTAGGCTATACCCAGCCTGAGCTATTGTTCTTGTTATCTGGAGATGTGGGGTATCCCCTAATATTAAGGCATCATTTACTTTTGCCTGCTCCTGGGCAATGTTCTTCAGCATATTGATTATTCATATATTGGTTATTCATATTTTTTTCAAGCTAGCCAGTGACTAGGACGTTTTAAAATAGTGATGTGGGCTAGGGAAAGAGATAAGTATTCTAGAAGTCCTTTCAAAAGTGTCTTGGAACGTAAGAGAATGTAAGAAGACAGTCATGTCCTCTTAGGCCTGCTGCCTGGGGAAGGAAGCTGAAGAAGAATTCTGCTTAGTCAATTGTTGGTCACGGCTTAAAGGTCCACAGCTACAGATTGCTGGTCTAGGCTCAAATGACCATTACTAGCCTGTGAGAGGGGCTAAACATAATTAAAGGTAGCTGTCTGCATGGCCTACCTAATGTGCATTAGCCTGTGACAGAGCTCTAAAGACACTGGGACCACTGAGGTAAACCGGAGACATGTTGCTGCTGTTTTTGGTTAGCCTTTACCCCTCTTTACCTAGACATCTGAAACAATTAAATCTGCACAAGGAAGAATGACGGAGTAGAAGTGTGTCTGTCAGTTGGTGTTGGTAGGTCGGTCAGTGGGTGCAGCCTGCAGGCCAAACCACCTGTAGGAATACTAAGAGGGCCCACAAAATCCACCAGCTCCTAAGGGAGTCAGTGCTAAAATGTTATAGTATTATTATTGATAAAAATACATTTTAATAAAAGAACTAGGAGTTAAGATGGATAAAATATATGTATGTAATTCATGTGGATCTCTTCTCTTTTCCCCAAAGTATATGACATAAAAATATTAATCTCTTACCATAGTTTTTTCTCTGTTGGCTTCTTGAATCTTACAAAGCTTCCACAAAATGATGTGTCCCTCTATTAACAAAACAATGGAATATTGATTATAACATTGTGCTGTAACCCAGATCTTTAGATAAATAAGCAATGTTTTTTTCCTAACTGTAAAATACTTAGATTCAAATTTTAATTGGCTTAAAGGGAATCATAGTATGGGCCCATGCACATATATTTACAAGTAACCTTGTACGTTTAAATGAAGATGTATGACTTTGAACAGACATATCTCTTTTAGTGGTTGCCCTTGAAACCTGAAGCTATGTCAGAATTTGTGAAGAACTAGTAAAGAAGCAGCTGTTATGGGAGTGGTTTAAGAACAAGGTTCTGTGTTTTAAATAGAGTTGTAGAATACATTTAGAAATCATGACTAAAGTAGTTTTCGTGAAACCATATAGAGAAGTATAGTAGTCGTGACGTCAGAAATAAGTTAAGAATATGCTTACAGAGTTATGACCTTATAGGATAGACCAATCGTTAACGTCGATTTTGGTATATAAGCGACAGGGGACAGACACTCGGGGCGCATACACACTACAGACACACAGACACGCCCACACTCACATTTGAAAGATACTTTGTTATCCCACCTGCTAGAAGACTATTTTGGTCGAACCTACTCAAAAGGCTGAGGAACAAACACGAGGTGACTAGTTTTTTTAACTCTGAATTAACTAAGAACAATATACTTTGAACTATCTATTTGTATATTATATTTTTGCAATATCATTGTATGCTGTGACTTTCCATTATACAATTAAAGTCACAAGTTTTTCAATCTACAACTGGACAATCATTGATGAAGATTAATCACCTTCAGACGCTTAAATCGCAAGTGTCAGTCGAGAAATACTAATTTTCTAACACTAACTAAATTAGTAGACTAAAATTTAATTGACATCCCATTCACACATAAAGTATATGCATGCATTATTTTCTGTGCCCAATCAATGATACTACAGTCATAAGCATGTAATGTACATGTGTATGGCCTTGGAAACTTGAAGGGCATTTAATAACTTTAGGCTATGCCACCACACAAGAATTAAAATCCATCCTATGCACATTAAATACCTAAATAAATGGGCATATTAAGAAGGTAGAAGAAACTGTATAGGTTTAAAGCTTAACACAATTAACACACGGTTACAAGTATGACTGTGAAGGTTCTAATTTATATAGGTCATGGTATAGTTAGAAATATTTAGTCACATTCATTTAGAGAATGCTGAAGATGTTTTAAGGCTTATCCAAACATATCATAACAGCATAACTAACCACATGGGTAACTCAATCACATTAATGCAATCACCATTGCTATGTCAATGTCATCATCATGATTGTCAGGAGCTGACTGTCCAAGAACATGATTGGAGGTGTAAAGGTTTGTGAAACCCCTGTGTTAATGCTGTAATCCAAGTACCATGGTGCCAGGGAGTCTGGGACAAGTGAAGCATGTGTCTCCCAATAAAGATGTTTTATTAGGTACTATCTAATTAGATGTAAACCCATCAACTAAAATCTCATGTATGCTTTAATATGTTGTTGTTATTATTATTATTAATATTATTATACAGGATCTATATAGATCCAACAGTTTGCACAGTGCTTTACAGTATAAGGAGGACATTACTCTTACAACACAAGTCAAGACAAGATGTTTAGGAGGGCCCTGACTGTGAGAGCTTACAATCTAAAAAAGAGGGGCAAGTGATACAAGAGGTGGTAGTTGTGTGGGGATGAATTGTTTGAGAAAGTGATAGTGCCGTGGTTAGGTTGAGGCGGAATAGGCGTCCCTGAAGAGATGAATCTTTAGGGATCACCTAAAGGCAGATAGAATAGGAGATCAACGAACAGGTTGGGGTAAGGAGTTTCAAAGAATGGGAGAGACTCTAGAGATGTCCTGAAGGTGAGCATGGGAGGAGTTGATGAGGGAGCTAGAGAACAGGAGGTCTTGGGAGGAGCAGAGGGCACGGTTAGGATGACACTTTGAGATGAGGGTGGAAATAAAGCTGGGGCTAAGTGGTGGATTGCTTTGTAAATGGTTTATATGTTAATTTAAAAAATAGTTTTCAATATTTTAAAATCTGTAGCGTTCATTAAAATATTACCTGCTGATTTTCCATAATGGTTATTGTTCAGTCAATTGCTGTTACAGGGTTATAACACTTTGTCCCCCCCTCCAAGATCTCATGATTTCAAAATATCTTGCAAGATCTCAGGGGAAAAGTTTATTTTGGGGTTTTTTCAGCAGAGTATAATATGGTACAGTATATATGCAAGATGAGGCACAAATGTCATTGATGGACTGGCAAAATATTTTTTTAAATGGCAGCAAGAGAGTGGGGAACAGGAAGAAGATGTTGTGGGAATCGTGGGAATGAGGCAAGAGATTAAACATAAAGACACATTGATATATGTACTGTAAGTGGACATGTTTCACTTAATATTTTTAGATGATATTGTTGGTTTATGGAGAAGACTAGTCAGTTTTCAAGTCACATTTGGTAAATTACATTTTTCAGCCTTACAAAGCTGAGCATAACTTCACAAGCACATACCCACCTTCATTGCCTGCTATGATGACATCAGCATGGATATCTGAACAAAGTGCTGTGATTGGAATGGGAGGGTGCTTTGTAAATGGTAATTCCGTGCTCATCAAATCACCCTGAAAAGTAATATGTACATTTAAACATTTAAAATGAAACCTTCTTGCAATACTGGTATTTTATACCAATGCCATCTACAAAAATGTGAATTAAATAACATGGGACAGCCACATATCTATATACTATTAAAAAAAAACTGAATTCTATTCAATGTTCAGACTAAAGAAGCAAAATTACTGCAATGTAATGAAATAAAACAGGAACAAAATATTTCAATAGATTTGGTTGAATGCAGTGATAGCAATAACTAACGGAGAAGTGTATTTAGACCATCAAACTAATACAGAATATTGTAATAGACCTTAAAGCGGACGTTTACCCCCTTTCACTAAAAATCACATCAGCATGAAACTTATTTATAATTACTGTTTTTCCCCATCCTGGTTGAGTAAGGCATTGGTAATGTAATGCTGGCATCACAGATGCATCCTGGGAAGGCTACATCACCAGTGCCTTTCTTGGAAATCTCATCTGTAAACTGTAAAATTACAGCGGAAAGGCACTGTTCCTCCTGAGATGACATGCCCTGTCATATGCTCCAGAAGGCAGACCCAGAGTTCCGTTCCAAGAAGTCAAGGGACATGGATTTATCTGTCCTTAGTAAAGATGGACAGTGTAAGAATGGGGATGAAAAGAAAAATAAGGTATGCAAAGAATACAAAGCCTGCAATGATCTATAAGTATCTGTTTGTAGATTGCCATTACTAAACATTTCTAAAGGTGCCTTTGACTTTTTAAGCCCTTGTCCCTTCTAGGATAAGGGTGAAGTTCCTCTTTAACATGCATACATTGGAACTGTCAGAAATTTACACTATCTCGCTATTTCAGAATATGGTAAAGAAAAAAAAAGAAACATGAAAAGATAAACCAGCACAACTCAGGATATAAAATGGTTAAAATATTTGGAACGGTCACATCTTTCTGCCTTGAGGAAGGGACCATGCGCGGTCCCGAAACGTCGGTTTATTTTGATGTCTGTGACGTTTTCTGTCCAATAAAAGGGACATATTTATCTTTACTACTGAGTGCTGGTGATTTCCTGACTTTCCTGTGTTTGCACGGCGCCATCCGTGGTATCTCATCACTGCGAGCACCACTTTTTTCATATCTGGCCAGGACTGCTGTGAGGAGTGCGGAGGGTCTCTCCATCTACTTACACAAAACAAAAAACATTTCTTTTGAAAATTGGCAAATTTGCTCTGATGACAACTGCCTAAGAGGGGAAATCCCCTCGATTTGAAGAGATTTCCTTTTACTTCCTGCTGTGTCTCTGGGATAGGAAGTGAAGGGAAATCTTCCTGACACATCAGGCTTTTGGCTTTACACAAATTTTTTATTATTCTGAAAATGTTTTATACTTACAGAGTCTATAAATATTATAATACAATGGTAACAACCAGTATACATTATTAGTGTAAAGAAAGCTATTTAATAAGTCCAAAAACAATATATTATACAGTTGTAAAAAAAAAACCGATTAAAAATCCTAAATCCTTTGGTGCTCCAAAGGAGACACTAGTCCTTGTTTTTAAATGTTTATAGTTAATTTGCTTTTGACCCAGTCTTTTCTGTTCCCTTTTTTCTTTACTTTTTTTGCTGTGATATTTTTCTATCTATTTTTTTATGTGTTTTTGAAAAAAATCCATATAATTCAATGCATTAAAATGTTTGTAAAATTATGTTTTGTTTTGTTTTGCATTTCCTGAATTTTGGTGCTTTCCTTTGGGTTACCCTCAAAAGGGGCAACATACAGCGGCTAATAAGTAAAAGCACATTTCCGCATTTACTGTCTGTGAACTATAAATTCTAATCCTATTTTCTAGGAAAAAAATACAAACTCTCTTTTAGTAAATACAGTATGTTATTAGTATAGAATTTCTTCTGTAAATACTCTTCAGTCCAAGAAGTTCTGAAATCCAGTAAAGTACTAGTACTAATTGTCCAGCGGCTCTGCTGCTGTCAAAAAAAAACAAAACAAAAAAACTCTCCCAGGCGCTCTGGGAGCCTCCCGCTCCCGGCCGCCAAGTAGAGAAACACTGCTCTGTCTTTTTTTTTTCTTTATTCTGACACGAGCGATGTCAGAATAGAAAAAAAAAAGAAATTTTCCCATTGAAAAGCATTGGTACATTACTATCGGCTATTTCAATTTGCAATAGTCAATAGTAAACTAGCATTGTACCCGCCCTCTGCTGATGGACCTGATGGCGGGTTCCCTTCCCCCCTCAGAAATGGATGGGACACCTCCCTGAAATGAGTTTTGGCAGGTTGGGATCCCTGAGACATCAGCATTTGCGCAGAATTACCTCCCACCCCTTCACCTCTTCCTCGGTGGATGAAGCACTTCTTGGCCCTCTGCAGGCTGTGACAGAAGCTGCAAAACTTTGCATCCAAGATCTTTGTTTACATGTAATTTTTTAAGAGGAAGCAAAGGGGAACACATCTTATAATTAATGTTATCTTTTAAGGATTGCTTTCAAACATGAAATATTATAGCTTAAATTAGAAAGCTAAATGAATATTACCTTAGTGTTCCATAAACACAGATGCCCATTCTCATGACCTGACACTATGAGTGGAGAGTCAGCCTTGTTATCTAATGACACAGTATGCTGGCTACATTGCGTAGATTCATGTGAATCTTCAACACCTCTGTCATTCTCTATTTCTGAAAGTTCACCTGCTAAAAACAAACAAACATCATAGTGGAATAATGTGTGCAGAATGAACACTACAGATAGAAAGAAATGTATAAGAAATTCTTGAAAAACACATACAGGGTTATTCACAAAATGGTGAAGAGTTTGGAGAAGGCAGGAGAAGTGAACAATCTAGGACAACATAGCTGAACTGGAAAGTGAGCTGAATTGGAGAATTTTTCCAAATCAGCTATGTTGTCCTAGATTGTTCCCTTCTCCTGCCTTCTGCAAACTCTTCACCCTTTTGTGAATAACCCTGATAAAGAGGAAGTTTCTGTCCCATCATAGCAGACACCAATTAAAAAGCGCACAATAAATGCCTATTTTGTCCATAATAACTATTCTTATTATTTCTAATTCTATAAAATACTGGAAAGTGAGCATGCTTTCAAAAATAATGCAATCATTTTTGAATCAATTAACAGCCTACAAATTATTTATATAGAAAAAAAAATCACATCAATATTTGGTGTGTCCACCATTTGCTTTAAAACAGCGTCCATTCCCTTAAGTAGAATTTTGGATTTTCTCTCACTTTCAGTATCGATGACATTGATTATTAGGACAAATAAAGAGGATAGAACTCCCCAACTGGAACAGACACAGAAATAAGAACCTAAGAGAGGTTCAAACCCTTCTACATTCTATCCAAAACTTGAAAAAAAAAAAGAATTTACATACATTTAAATTCAACATGATATATTGAAACACTTCACACTGACCAGTACATGTCTCTGGGGTATCCATATTTTCCTACAAAGAAATCATAATATTCTCTGGTCATTAAAACAAAAGCAAATTATGTAACACAGTGTTGTGTGTTTAGTAACAAATGTGAGTTACAAGACATGCATTTATCTCAAGCAATGTCACAGAGGTATTGTTCTTAGCAGCCATGTTAAAGTGACCCTGTCAGTACTTTGTATTGTAAAACATACCTGTATTGAAGAGTCACTTTACTTACCCATCTGGCTAGTTTAATACTTGCAACGGCCAGGGAGAAGCAAAGACGCTTCTTCACTTTTCCCTGGCCACTGCAAGTATTAAACCAGCCAGGTGGGAGGAATACCCATGTGGTTCTTCCTGCTGGTTGGTTTGTCCTGTAGTGATATATGAACTAGCAGGAGAAACAACAGCGTGTGTAGGGGGAACAGGTATTCCATCCACGTATTCCACCTTGACTTTTGTTTGAATTTTCAATCATAAAAACCAACAGCACAAAAGTAGTAATATTGCATGTGATATGATTTAGTGAGCTGACCCTTTTGACTGTAACATCGTTTTAAATACAGCCAGTACATATTTAAAATACATCTATTATTTAAACAGTATTATTAATTGAACATACTTTCAATGAATTCCTTTCCTTTTGTTGTGAAATATCTTGTAATGAATTACATAACCTGTAGATAAAAAGGTAGTGTAGTGAGTTTTTTTTAAATTTAAAATAAACATATGTAATGGTGTTGTACCTATCTCTATAATTTCACTATAATATAATGAACAGTAAAACGGACCAGAGGATCCTTTAGCCAGTTCACCAGGGCAGGGGGTAGCAGGGGGTAGCCCATTGAAGCTGATCAAGCACAGATCATGCTTAAACAGCTTCTTCCCCAGTCTACCTAGCCAGGGAATGACAGCTCAGAAAGCGGAAGTGATAAAATCATGGTTGTTTCCGGTTTCATTCAGCGGGGAGGTGATAAGCAAACAGATGTTTGCTGGTCTCTCTCCCCACTACCGGCCGACAGAGGAACACGAGAAGCAAGGCAGGGGGTGTCAGAAGGGGGAGGGGGGGCACATGTTTACCGGCCCCTAGAAGCAATCAGGCGGTTTTATAGCTGCCCTGATCACTTCCGACAGTCCGCTTTACTCTGGTAAAAAGACTCTCTGTGGCTATAGCTGGGTATATGTTAACAGGGGCCCGCAGCTGCTCATGTATGACATATGCCGGTGGCAGCAAAAGGGCTATACGGCTGAAAGTAAAGATGAACAATTTTCATGTACACTGTGCTGCACATGCACAGCTCAGTGCACAGACTCTGTATGCCGAGATAAAGTAGCTACCATGTGCATGCATGGGAGCAAGGTCATAGGGGTCTGGCTAATCAAGCAACTCAACACTCAAAACCAGAAAGAAGACCAGGACGAAGATGGGAGCGCCAGTGAGGGAGGAGTGCAGCACTGGAGGGGATCGATTTGACAGGTAAGTCTGCCATAATGTGCTAATATGCTGTGCATACTAGCACATCATTGCCAAAAGCAATGTTTTTTTTACTTTACTTTACTTCTTCTTTAAAAGTCAATGTCGGTGGGCTTCGGTAAGCATAGGAAGAGGGGTTATGACATCAGTTTGAGATGCTCATGAACTCATTTAAAATTAATTGTAGGTGCAGTTACTTTCAAATTGACCTGTATTTGACCTATTTTAGCTGTTTTTGCATTCCTATAGACTTACATAAGGAGAGAAGCAGTTTGGAAGTAAACAAAATGCCCATCAACAGTGGTCCTAAGATAAATTGAGGGAACATTATGGGCTTTAGCACAGTTGCAGTATTTTCCGGATACCTTTAGCAGAGCCCTGATTGATTTCACTTCCTGTCAAGAACTGTCTTTGAAAATATTTTTTTTTCCTTGAAGGTGGGAATTGCAATAGATAGGTGTTATTATTATTTCACAGCACCCTAATTCTTTCTAAATCCATAACAAGTTAATAGAAAATTGTTCTTCTTTCTTTACTACCTTAAGGTAATAAAGATTACCTTGATGTGTTCAGACTGTCCATCTCCTTGGGAAAAATAAACAATACCATATTTATTCTTTCTGCCTTCAAATTGTGTGCCAGGTTTGTGTTATTAATACTTTCATCAGAGTTCCTGCTGTAGCTAAAAACAAAAAAATTGTATTATATTTTATAAAGAAATGCACAAAAAACAGTAGCAACTTTGTTTGTTGTTATTTTCTTGGAAACTGCAGGCCACTGATTGTACAGGCAGTTGGTTAGAAAATAATAGAGAACCTTATTTATTCATAATTTAAACTAGCAGTTTAAACACATTTTTGCATTTGTTTTCATTGCATTAGGCTCTACTGAGTTTTTTTCTTATGGTGCAGTGTGCTCTGAAAATTTAAAAATATGCTTTTATTCCAGGTACACACAGTATAAATAACTAGCCACTGCACACAGTAAGTACATTAACACAATTAAACTAATTTTAGTATTTGTGTATGGTTTTATTTTTACCTATATCTTAGCTGGACACACTGTTACCAGGTACAGCCTATTTTTGCACATAAGAATTTTCCTATGGCAGCACCCACTCTTGGTCAAATGAGCATTCTGAAGAGCCTGGCACCTGTCAGCATTAGACACCAGGGATTTTGGAGGAGTATCCCTTTTTTGGGGGGGAAGAACCCCCTCCCACTCGCTAGGCTAGTCTCTGCATCACAGAAGGCCTCGTGCTTTTTGCTCCATTGCCATGGAGATACTAGCTCACATGCCTGTCAAGCTGGACTGGTACTGGTGGCTATGTTTTTAACTGAAAAAATAATAACACGCCACGTAATAAACTTTTGTAGAAGGACAGGACCCCCCATCCGGGGCAATCATTGTGTTTTTACTGAAAATGCTGTGGCTCACCAACTCAACTCTTGTGCAAATTCAGTGAGTGCGGCAAATGTGAGGTGAATTTGACATTATCTAAATTATATAATCATTTACAGTATATTATATAATGTCGGTGAAAGTTATTTGACTCAGAATAATGTGCAAGTGTGTGGCAAATGCACTTTAACTACAGGAAGATTGTCTCCCTGATGAATGTTTTCATAAATATGCAACAAAGATTACTTGCTAATTGTTGTCTACACAAGAAAATCCTGCTTCAGATCTTCACTTTGGATATTTTTGGTAAATTCCAAAATTTCCAGGACCAGCCTGTAATTGACATTATTATACATATTCTGTAATCATGTTTTTCACAACAGATTAGACTATATTTACATATGTTGTACAGAAGATTCTTCCAAACTATACAGGCTCATCTCTCCATTTATACTTCCAGTGGCAAGGAGAAAACACCTTTCCCGCTTTACAGCATCGAAACAGATATTTGTTCTTATAGGTGACGTAATCTGTAGGAGTTAAATTATTATTATTGTTTTTATGGCTTTGTGTTAACACACATATATTTATTCACGAGGATCATTTCACAATAGAATAATGTAGGTACCGTAGTAATGTAATAACCACTAACCATTATTCGGTTTTTATTTATAATAAAAAATGGATTGTTCAAGTCACTTTAAGACATTAACATGTAGAATAACTGAATTTAAGCAAGCAATGGCAGTCTACAAGCTTCTCTCAATACAGGTTTCCCTAAAGTTGCTTAGCAAATACTGTACATCAAGTAAGAGCAGGTATACTCATTAAGTGCTGACACATTATTCTGGACCTCAAACTCTAAAAATTACTGGAAAAAAAAGAATAATTCTTGTTGCCTTCAGTTTTCAGATGATATTCCCCTTTTCATGTTTGTAGTGTAATTTGTAGGGGCTTAACTACAGATCATGGGACCCCACCTGAGATTTGTTGGATCTGTGATGTCTTCACATGCACACATATTTTCTATGTTTAATTTGTCTAATGGGCCCCTTCCACCCCCCCAGGCCCCTCTGTGGACAGCTATGGCTATAGTTACACCACTGGTAATATGGAAACCTAAGGGGTATCTGAATAGTAGCTAAATGCTACTGAAAAGCTGTATCACTAGCTTCGTTCGGCCGATCCTTCGGGTAGCTTTGGCCCCAGGACCCCTTCGGTTCAGTAGAACTGAAAGGCTGCTGTACGGGCTATTCACTATAGCCTGTACAGCTCCCGAACTTGGCCGAGTGGCTCAGTCGAGCCGAACACATATGCCTTGACTCGGCTGAGCCATGCTGAAAGCCGAAGCTGGCCGAGCGGCCGGCCATTGGCCGGCGGACAGCCTACTTCTAACAGCTGGGCGGAGCCAGCCGTGATGTTATGGCTGGCTCCGGCCACTTGCAGAGAGATCAGCGTCCCTGGTTACCAGCTAACCAGGGACACTTATCTCCAGACAGCAAACTCTCCCGGGCGCTCCGGGAGTCTCTCGCTCCCGGCCGCCAAGGAGAGATACACTGCTTTTTGTTTTTTTTCTCTTTATTTTTTCTTTATTCTGACACGGAGCAGTGTCAGAATAGAAAAAAAGAAAATGTTTTGGCCATAGGAATGCATTGCTAGATTCCTATTGGCTATTTCAATTTGCAATAGCCAACCGAACAGCAGCGAGTAGCCTGCCGGAGGTTCGGCTTAGCCGATCCAGATGTTGGGAGGGCTGAGTCGAACTCCTTCTGCAGTTCGGGTCGGTGGAACATGCTAAGCATGTTCGGCCGACCCAAAGCCACCCGATGTATAGCTGATTTCAGCCGATATAAACATCTGAAATCAGCCGTACCAGCCTGAAGTGAATAGCCGAACAGCGTTCGGCTCACTTCGCTTTAGGTTGGTCATTTACTCGGCTGCCAACTTAGTGAGTAGACCCCTATGTTTCAACCTACCTATGAAATTGATGATCATTAGCACCTACTTGGTATAACTGGTTAATCATACACCTGACCCTAATCCTACAAAATCCCTGACTTTGTGCAAGTGTAAAGGTGCCCATACACCTTACGACCATCGCAAGACTTTTGTCTTTCGATGGTCGTAAGCTTATTAAAAGCTCGTACGATCTGCACATCTTGGACGGGTAGATCGTATTTGCGATCATTGAAAGCCCGCCCCACTGAGGGGCAGGCTTCTGATGACGGCAGTGAGGGGCCGGCTTCCGATCACTGCAAACGGGCAGTGTGCGCATGCGCACACCGGCCCGTTCGGCAGTTGTCAAATAAGCAGGTTTTCGAACAAGCAGGTTTTCAAGCCTGCTTGTTCGACGGAAGACGTGCGACCGTACAGTAAAAACGGTCGCACGCCTTCCATACACTGTACCAGGGCCGTCTTTAACGCAGGGCAAAAAGGGCAGTTGCCCCGGGCCCAGTCATTGTTGTGGGGCCCCTTGAGCCTGCAAAATATTCACAGGTGGCACTGTTACACAGTTGGTCAGTTTGAAAAAAGACACAAGTGCATGAAGTTCAACCTGTTTAATTTAGTATGCAATCGGCTTCACATAGTGCTGCTCTGCCCGTATGGGCGCATGTATAGGCAAAATTGCATGGTGGGGGCTTGGCGGGTAGGGGTGGGCCCAAGAAAATGTTTGCCCAGGATCCAATCGATATTATAGACGGCCCTGCACTGTACGATTGTATGATAATTGCACCTTGTATGGGAACCTTAAGAATTGATGCTAGTTTGAAGCCAAAGGATAGTCACACCAAATATTGATTTGATTTAGATCTCTCTTCTGTTCACTCACTTTGCATTTTGTAAAGTGATAAAAATAAACAATACAAATATATATTATTTTGCATTCTTACTTTACAGCATTTTTCCACACCTGCCTAAAACTTTTGCGCAGTACTGTACTGATGTGTGTATATATATATCTATATATATATATATATAGTAGTGGCAAACCACTCTAATCGGTCTAGGTCTAGTGTGGGATGTAGTGAATCTGCACCCAAACTGTAATTGCTTTTGTTTTAATGCTTCCGTGTTTAGGTTGGGGGCTTTCAAGACAGACCAGGGAAAGTGTGGGTGGGTTCCCTGTCCAGCATAGGTTCACCTAGGTTACCGCCTGGTGAGCATTTATTATTATTTATTTTTGAAAAGGCATGAAATAGCTTTTTGGTGGTATGAGAGATTCCCTAAGTTCAAAACTGGCCACAAAACTACATATTTTGAGTTTTTCCTTACACTGAATATAATCCTGCATAGAAAGAGATGCTTTGTAGCTTGCTTTGAGCAAATAAGAGTGATTTTAAAAAAAACTGAAATAACACTGGTGAGTGAACTGTACATGGTCTGCCTGATTTCCTAGCATGCAAGGATATACCTTAGGTCGCTGTTGCTACACAGTTCTTCAATTCAAAAACAAGACATGTCTACTGCTCATAATTATCTTCAAGATAAACAGACTAAAGCTTATACCTGGTCTTTGGGTCTATCAGGTGTCCTTATATTCTGTTCCATTTTTCTCTCCTCGAATGATTGTAATGTTGTAAACAATCCACCAGTGTCTTGACCAAATTCAGCAACCACAAAGAGTCTAGGATCATCTTCTTTTCCCTTTCAAAGATGGATATGATAAATAACAGACCTAACTGTGCAATAGTTTTCATTATATCTAAGGCCCCGTTCACATTGAGCGGTTCGCAAATCGCGCGTTTGTCGCGCGATATCGCGCAATTGCTTGCATTGAGCAAGCTTGAATCGCGGCTAAATCCGCTCCAAAAAGGGTCCTGCTGTAGCGACGCACGACCCGCGACAGCAGGACCCTTTGCCCCATTGAGAAGCATTGGAGAGCGATATCTCGCGGTAAATTGCTGCGATATCGCGGGAATTACCGCGCGATAAATCGCTCAATGTGAAAGGGGCCTAACATAACAAGTGCATATATTACTTTGGGTTGCAGAGCTTTAATTAGGAAAAGTTTCAAATTTTTCAACAGAAAACCAATCCATGATTTATGAAAAGTTTTGTTGAGACCCACAATAAAGACATATTTTAATGATATTTGAGCTACATTCTGACCACAGAGTGCAATCATTTTATATGTAGCTCATGAGGTCATTATAGATAGATAGGCATCGTGCTTGTAGTTTGCACCTTTTTAAGTAAACAGTTGAAAACATTTTTGAAGATTTTTTTTGGCAAACTGCACTCACTTTAAGACCATGCAAGAAAGAAGATCTTTTCCCTCAATTTACAAAACTAAAAGTTGATTGGCTTTCATGAGTCAATACTCATGCACATCTCATTGCACTTTATACAACCTAATTAAATAAGCTTAAAAAGCATTGTACAAAGTGAAGCAACTTTTACTTACCAAGCAGTAATTTTCTTTCATTTAACGGATTACACTAACGTGAAATGTATGATTAAATCATGTGATGGGGGTTTTAGTAGGCACACTTTGCATAATGTTTTGAAACAAAAGTAATAAAATAAATAAAAATCAAGATTAAAACACCTTTCACAGGAGGGGTCCAATCAGGGCCGCCTGTCAGTTTTTTCACCCGGACCAGCCAGGCCCGATCAAACGCTCTACGGGCAGCCGGGTTTAAACAGACGACGGTCCATTCACACCCAGTTAGCTCCGGCTCGGTGTGGTAAAACAGACGGATCATTGATCCGTTTCGATAGACCGGATCGTGCTGGGCCAGAGGTAATCTTATATAAACGGACACATGTCCGTTTAAATCAGATTCCCAATAGACTTGCATGAGGTCTGGTACTTTTAGTTTTTTCCTCCATTGCATGATAGATGAAACAACTGCACAGACACGGATGTCACAACTGTGACATCCGATATGTGCCGCTCTGATCAGGAGAGGATCTGTTGCCGAATCCTCTCCTGATCGGCCAGTGTGAAAGGGGCCTAACAGTTAATAGATAAATTAGTACCATGTGCCTTTTGAAACCTTATCTGTATGTAAGTTTTGATAATTTAGGAGGTCTGAAGAAGAGAGCGTGGCCCTGGAAAGGCAATTAGATGTAATAGCTGTGAATGTACAGGCATCCAGTGTGGGTTGTTTCATATGAAAGAAGCATTATGGTTTTTTTTATATTGTGAGTACCTGTCTTTAATTACACATATTTTAAAGCAATAAGCATAATTCACAAGGAAAATGAGCTGTGTCCTGTCGTGTTTACATATGATACAGATCTCCTCATCTTAGACATGGACAGCATATCACATATAAACTACTGTGTATTTCCCTCTCTAAAAGAAAGAAAGGAAAATCCGTTAGAAAGACGGTTGTAAACAAAAGGACTAGTGGAATCAATTTTCCAAAATGTATAAAAGGTGTCAAACTTTATTAAGCTTACTTCAAAATCCATAAAAAAAACAAAAAATGGACAGCATATCCCCTGAGTATACCAGCAGTCTTTGATCGAGGAATGGGAAGACTCTACTGTAGAAGGAAATCGCTGGAAGTGGTCGAATTGGAAGTGCATTTAAGAAGTGGGCATGGAGAAAAGCATATGTCTGTGCATGGTGGATGGCATAGGTTTTTTTTAACATATACATTTTTATTGTTTTAGCACAAAAGACAAGACAGTACAGTTTTTTGCAGTTGTATACAGTGCATGGTGCATGGTTTTTGTATAAGGCAGGGTGCATAGTGGTTAGTATGTTAGAATGAATATGTAGGAGTACTAAACCCCGTCGGACGATGAGGTCACATTCATGGGGGGTTGCCTGCCTATGAAGGAGAGGTAGCTTAATAGGTCTAGAATGTAGCTCAGTGTCCAAGCAGGTTAATTGGCAGGCCGGTAGTACCCAACATAGGTAGAGGACCTTGCACCTCCTTGATACTGGTTAAGGCACCGTGAAATACTTACACTACAACAAAAGACATTGGGGACACGCAGACAGAAGGGTAGGTGGTAAAGTGGGAGGGGGGTCAGGTAGCATAGGGTAGGGTAGATGTCGGGCCGAGCTGGAGTACCAAGTAAGTACTTGTCAAACCAAGGGGTCCAAATAGTCTCAAATTTGGTCATTTTGTCCTCAAGTTGTGCCGTACGTTTTTCTTCAGCCATGACCCAGTTGACATGGGTTATGACACTGGCTGTGCTCAGAGTTGATGTCAGCCAATTTTTTGCGATCTCTCGTTTGGCGGAGGTGCAAACATGCATGGCAAGGTGGAAATGGGTGCGGGAGAGGCCTACTGGCTTACAATTGAGTAGTGCAAGATAGGGGTCCCTCGTCAGTGGCTTCGAGAACAGAGACGATAGTACGTTAAATATTCCCTCCCAGAAGTCGACTTGGGGGCAGCTCCACCATATGTGGAAGAACGAGCCTCGGTCAGGGCAGCCTCGAAAACAATTAGGGGAGCAACCGGGGTTGTAAATGGCAACCCTAGCGGTACTAAATACCACCGCATGAGTACTTTATAGTTCATTTCTAACATGCTTGCACTGCGTGAGCTTCGTCTAGTGTTGGCCCAAGAGTGGTCCCACTTCTCCTCAGTGATAGTGGTCTCTAGGTCTGTATCCTATTTTGAGGTATAGGAGGGAGGGGGTGTGTCTGTTGGAGTGATAAGTAGAGCGTACAGGAGGGAGATAAGTCCAGGGCTGTGTGGATCCTGGCTGCAAATTTTTTCAAAGGGGGACATCCTACGGGGACCAGTAGGTTTTGGGGTGGATGTTGTCATGTAGTTTTTGATTTGGAGGTATCTGAAGATTTCTGCATGTGGGATTTGTTTATGTTCCCGTAAGTGCGGAAAAGGTTTGACACCCGAATCGGATTGTAGTTGCCAGAAATGGGTGAGTTCTTGGGCAGCCCAAGTTTTGAAATTCTTTGGGTTTGTGAGAGCTGGCGTGAACGAGGGGTTATCAAAGATGGACATGAGTGGTTGGTGTGGGGAGAGGAGTCCGTATTGGCTTTTGATTGAGTCCCACAATCTGAGTGAGTGAGACGTTATAGGGTTGTGGACTGTTGGTCTTTGTTTCGGGGCCAACCAGAGGAGGTTGGCAACTGATACAGGCTTCAATAGTGCATTTTCCACGGCCACCCAGGTTGGGGTCTCATAGTTCGAGTGGTATTTCGCTAGTTGCCCTATCTGAGCTGCTAGGAAATATTTAGCTAGGTGAGGGACCGCTAACCCACCCCGATTTCGGTAAATACAGTGTACGTCTAGGGACTCTAGGCCGTTTAGCCCCCCATATAAAAGTAAATACGCAGGCTTGTAGTTTTCTGAGGGCCGGGGCTGGAACTGCTACTGGCAGAACTCGAAATAAGTATAAGATTTTGGGTAAGAGGGTCATCTTGACCACTGCCATTCTACCCAGCCAGGACAGGTGGTATTGGGACCAGGTTTTAAGCATGGTTGTAAGCTTGGTGAACATGTCTGGATAATTAATGCTATATAGGGCCCGGTAGGAGTGCCCTAGTTTAATAACCAAGTATGGGAGGTGGTCCAGGCGCCATGAATAGGGGTATGTATTACGTAGGGACTCGACAAGTCGTGGGGGTAGGGAAATATTTAGGGCTATGGATTTGGAGTCATTGATATGCAGGCCAGATAGTAAAGCGAATTCCGATAGGAGTTTCGTGAGGTTTGGTAGGGTTACCACGGGGCTTGTGACAAAGAGTAAGACATCACCTGCAAACATACATATTTTATGTGATGTGCCTTCGTGGTCGATGCCAGCTATGTCTGGGGAATTGCGAATTTTCTGGGCTAGGGGTTCCAATGCTAGGGCGAAGAGGAGAGAGGATAAGGGACATCCCTGTCTGGTGCCGCTAAGGATCGGGAAGGGTTGGGAGCAGAAGCCTGCATATTTTAAGTTGGATGATCCGTCCCCTAAGGACTGGCTTATGGGCTTCCCAAAGGGTAACGGGAGAGATATTAGGTGTGCGGTTGAGTTGTATATAGTCTGTGATGTAAGTTTCTTTTTGGAGCTTGGAAGAGGGATCTGTGAGCAGGGAGTCATTTAGGGTCCAGGACGGAGAGTCGGGGTTAGGGTGTAATGTAGGGAGAAGTATGGTGACAGCTGAGGCATAGGTTTTTTTACATTAATGTTTATGCTTTTTTTAATATGATTTCTATTCCCTTAAAGAATGCTACAGAATTACAAAAGAAATAATGAACAAACAAGTTTTATCTTTTTCTGAACATTTGAGTGGATTCAATGTACCAACTAAATGTGGTACTGTTTCCATGCAAACATACATGTGCATCTTGCCAAACTCATTACAATAAACTAAAGGAAGATATAAAAAAGAAAAATGTTGAGAAACCTGAATCATTTTTAAATTCCCATTGATGTCCAGAGCAATAATCATATGTTGGTTGTCATGTATTCTCTTGTAGCTTAGCTGACGAATGCTTTGCTCTTCATCTTTAAATGCTTTCTTGGGCTGCAAAACTTTAATTTGATGGCCATTCCCAAACTCCCACATTTTCAATGACCCTAAAAAAGAAAAAGTAATGTACAAACTAAGTTTTTATGCTGACACTGCAATAAAGTCCCATCGTAGCCTGGCCATCTCCCTCTCATAGCTGTGAACTCTCTTGGTTTCCCCTGTGGTCCCTGGCAAATCCGTATGACTGCTCGGTTAATAAACATAAGTGGTGGCAGAAGGACATTCTCAGGTACCTCCTCCTATGTTGTAATGTCATGTACCACACCTCCGCAGCATCAGCACTCACTGTTTATGATCAGGTGCACTTCTCCTTCCTCTGCAGGAAACAGGCCCTATCCCCTGCATCAAGCTTTACTCTACAATTATAGAAAACAACGCTGCTAGGACTATGCATTCAACTTACCACTTCTGAGCAGCAAAGACTGTCGGCATGTAAGGTGGCTCCTGTTTCAGACCTCTCCCATATCTTTTAAATTGTTGTGCTCACATTTTAGGATCACCTTAGTAAAAGACTCAATGTAGTCACAAAAATGAGCCTGACTGAAGGAGGTATGTAGGGTTTGAAGAAGGTCTGATCACATTGAATATATGAGTACAATCCTAAAAATAGACAGCTGATTTTGCATTTTGTGGGCTCTAGGTACCGCTTACCCCTGGAATCCCTTCCAAATGCTCCCCACTATGCCCTCACGACAATGATTCCCCACCACTTGACAATGTCTCTGATCAGGCAGTGACCACTATAATCATTTGACTCCACGTAATCCTTGCTGTGCTGCAGTGTGGAAATAAAGTGTCCTTGATTGGGAATTCCAGCACCCATTTAAGGGAGAGTTGTGTCTTTGTGCATTGTGAGACCATGCTTTCCCCAGAACAGAATGACCAGGATGAAGTAGTTCCAATTGAGTGCCACTATGGGCAATTCTTTTGAGCCACATTTCAGAAAGAAAATATTTGCCAATATGGAATCTAGCCAGCAATCATGTTGGGGAAGCTGAGAGGAGAGAAGTTGAAACAACAATAAGCTTTCTTAAAGTTTTGGTGAGTTTGGTAGCTGCAAATAATTTCATTCTCCATTGTCTGCCCTAAAGAATTTGTACCTAATGGGAAATCTACTTATGACAGTTTTGTTGATTCACCAAAGAAATCATTCTCTTTATAGCTGTGTTCAATTTAAATATCCAATAAGGTGCAGGAAAATGTAAATAAGTATCAAATTCTATATCACCTAAAAAAAACAACAATTGTTGTGGCTCCGGGACACTAGTGCATGTTCCCATGGTTCTTGCATGACAAAAGGTCAAAAAGTGCATTTAATCATATTTTGCAATACATAAAAAAAGCAGTCTAAATACTCTATTCTAATTTGACACTTATTTTATCATATGCTATCATTTCTTACATTATGGGCTATGCCATTTTTACAAAATTGTTCAATGGAAAAAAGGATGCAACAAACCATTATTAGCTCCAGTCACAAAATGAAATCCACCGATATCAATAGAGGCAGCGGTCACTTCAGTAGTTGGCCCATGAGCATTTTCTATTTCATAGACTTGAGCACCTGTTTCTATTTCCCACACCTACAAGGAATGAAATGGAATTATTACTATCCAGCAAGGTATATACTTATGTCAGTCGTTCAATTGCCTCATATGAAAACATGCACCTATATAGACTTAGATGACTTCCATATAGATCAGTTCAGTTACCCAATAATGCTGCATTGAATGGATGTGTCCCTTTTATTACTGTACTGCTAAGCACACGATTTTAAAATTAAAGTAGAATGTTAATATTCTACACAGATGAGTATTCTGTAAACACACACTCTATAGTGAAACTTTGGTAAGTGTATCTAAAATACTAGAGACTGCTTGTCAATTATTATTTTGTTGCCGTAAAATCTAGCAGATTGAGCTTTGCCTGCCATTCTAAAAGTCTCACACAGTCATGTATAGATTTTAAACATTTCCATCCTTTACAATTCTTTTTTTCCTACCAGGGAACATCCGACTTTCAGGTATTTCCTGGGTATGTGAATACTAATGCAATTAATTATGCTCTATAAAATATATAGATTAAAATGACCTTTACAATAGATCCAGAACAGATGCTAAGAACCTGGTGAAAGACATGGTTATAAACAAGAGCGTTTATTGGCCTATCATGGGAATGTGGAACCTGTTTTGTGTTCTGAATCATTCGAGTCAAAGGCCAAACATCTAACACACATGAACCTGAAAAACACAAATATTTCTGTTATAATCCTTATTAAAACACACATATTTCTGTTATAAACCTTATTAAAACACAAATATTTCTGGAATAATCCTATAAACAAATGTTTCTGTTATAACAAAAAATGTCTCCTGGTGATCATTAGCAGTTCACTAACTGACTGACTGTACTTGTTACCAGCAGCAAATAAAGTCAGTCTATGACTTGCTTATGCTATGTAAGTTTTGTAGTTCATAGCAACTTTTTTTGTTCAAGCCTTAACAGGTATCTATGACAGGAGTGTATCTTTATAATGCAAGAATCTCTACTGTACAATGGCTCATTCACTGGGGTTGATTTACTAACCTTATAAACACGCCACGAACAAGTATACACCTCTGTAGTGTGTTCCCTCCCAGCACGATCTATTGGTGGAATCTAGACACCTTTGTAGTGTGTACACACCCAGCAGGTGTGTTGTGCAAAGCCCTGCATGAATTGCAGGGTGATGTTGTGTAAATTAGCTCAACATTGTGTTGCTTGCATTGATGAATGCAGGAATGTAAATGCATGAGCTAACTATTTTTGTCTAAACTGTGAAGCAGCATTATATATGCATCATGTGCATGATTTTTCCATATATGGCATTAGTGGAAATATGCTTTTAGAGACTTTTTGGTTGATAAATATGTTTTGCTGTGTAAAAATCACACGCACCTAGTGCATGCGTGTGTTTAGGTTAGTAAATCACCCCCACTGTCTAAGAATCAGCAAGTACACTATAGTGGATGCAACTGAGAATACATGTCGTTCTCACACACTTGGCTTCAAATTCAAAAAGCTAGCAACAAAGTGATACAAATCATGGGGTGGTCAGGTGGATTACAGCTATGTCTAGATGAGAAATAGAAGCCCTGAGTAGGTGGGCAATGTTCCTAATTGGCATTTCAGGGCATCACTTTAAGTTTTTTTTCATTGAAGATTTAAGATACATTTCAGCAGTATCCAGGCAATACATTCATAAGATAATCGTAAAAGTATCCAGGCAACAATAAGATAAGAGCATTACATTAATAACATATAATTGCAAAGTTCTTGTTCATAAAGCTTGATTGGTTTAGGACTCATGTCAATGGGAGTTCTTGTCTAACTCTGCATTTGCTATTAGAACGCAAGTGCATGTATTTAAACAGCAGTGTTTAACAAGAAAATGCTGCACTTGACCTGCTTTCCCTGCAGTTTAAATACACCTCAGTAGGACATGATGCAACCAAAGAAGCAAAGTGCAATGAAAAGCAACCTCTGAAATGCAATGTGTACTGCTCAGTTAAAGTCAATGGCATTCTGCTGACCTGCATTTGCACATCAAATGCATGAAAATAACACCCGTCGATTCAAGACTCAAGAGGTACAAGATATGAGGAGTCGGTGTGCATATTAGGGGACTATTTATAAACATAGCCATTCACCCTGTGAATCTCCATGATCATTTGTTCTGTGTGAATAGAGGCAAAAACAAACGTTCTCAGTACATTTTCTTTTCAGGTGAAATGTAATGTAATACTGCATTATGGTCACAGGAACAACTAATACATATTTTATGCTCCTCAGTGCCAACTAATGGCTAAAATGTGGTATTACATTACATTACATTACATTTGACCTAAAAATAAATATAGTAAAAATGTTTGTTTTTGTCTCTATTCACACAGAACAAAATTTTTAAGGAATGTGCAGGATGAATGGCTCTGCAATTGATACATTAATGATCAATTAACAATAAACATTAAAAAGTGTAGCGCTAATTAATGGGCATAGAAATTATACAAAAGTATAATTATACAAAAGTATAACTATGTGCTAAATTCATAAAGTGTATACGTACTATTACAAAATATAATTAATAATTACATTTCATTTCCTCATCCCAAACTGCAACACACCATCTCATACTAAAGTGCGAATACATCATCCTACAAAGTTTCTTTAACTACTAATCTTTTAAAATTAATAACTCAAAATAAAGTCCAATTCTTCAAAGTGAACACAGTGACAAATTATTTTTAAAATTCCGTTCTTCGTCCTATATACACCTCTGTGATCACACTCATGCTCCACCCTTAAATGGACAGGTTCTCACCTTCTCTGGTGGAACTATCTACCACAGATAAGGTCAGACAAGCACTTTTTTAAAATAAACAAATATGGAACCCGGCAGCTCCGCTTTAGCCTTGTCCTTGGCTCCACATCGCAGTTTAATAAGAGGAGCTGCCGAGTTCCATATATATTTTAAAAAGAGCTTGTCTAACCTATCTGTGGTAAGGTTAAAGCCTATACTTGGCCCTGCTCAGCGTGGCCCCATGCTGGCCCTCTTCTCTGCAGGCCCTCTTCTCTGTTGTGCTGTAAGGCAAGCCTCCCTTGTCAGTCTTTGCTCCCTATCGCTTTAGACCACACATGTAGCAGTGGATGCAGATGGTTAACCCAGTTGAGGGGGGGGGTGTAAAGGGAGAAACGTGAAGGAGGGGGAGTGCAGGCAGGACCAGGATGAGGGGTAAGCAGAAGAGGTGGCCGTCTTGGTCTCTATAGTAGAAGGGAAGTGCAAAAAGGGCAGGACCTCTTTTAATTTGCCGCCCATTCAATTGCACTAGTACTTTCCTGCCAATTTCTTTCAAACACATACCTGAAGTACATATTTTAAATCTTTTTTTTGTGACCATTGTTAGCACATGTAAGTGTTAAATGGTTTGTCTCAACCCTCTAACTGCCACTTTTGCTGGACAGATTGGTCTTTAAAAGGAAATTGAAAAATAACTGCACATGCTTGTTTCAGGTAACCTACATCTTGAACAAATTAGTAATGACAACACCCATATTTCTGTCCTGACAAGTTCCCTTTACATCAGCCCACTTAAGCCCCTTCCAACATCAGTGTTTAAGAGCTTTGTTATCTAGCAGAGAAACTGTCCTTCCATGGGCAGGAAAAGGTGTCCAATCCTGCAAATGAAAGCACTGAACAGGAGCACACAGAGATGTGATGAGAACCCTACACATGCTGCTAGTACAACAGAACTTCCAGAGCGGCAATTCTTATTTTACATTGCACAAGGATCAGTTTTCCACCATCAACCATGACAGTAGAAGACACACAATAACAGAAAAATGTATAATTTTTTGATGTTCCGTACATATGTATTGAATTGGGCCCAAGGGTTTTAGATGAAACAAAATACAGTTAGGTTTGTTGTTACATTTTTAAAAGCCTTACCAGTTAACAGTCTGAGGTGTTTGCTGTCAAATACTACTGAATTTATACGGAGATCCCCAGGTCCCTGCTGTGTATCAGTGAAGACTTGCAGCAGTGAAAGAGTTTGTATATCCCATACTCTAAAACCCTGAAATGAATACATGCAGAGATTATTTTGACAATCATGCCCTATGATGAATTATGGTTAACGTTTAATAGATTTCTGTGTTAAGAACATCTATTTAAATAAAATGAATGACTGAAGCATTAAGGCTGTGCTTATACTAAAAAAAATAATTGCTTGGAAGTATTTCTGTTACTAAGCATTGGAAAGGAACAAGCATAATTATTCCTTACAGGATTGCATTGGATTATTTAACAAGCATACATTAGTATGTATTGTTTTATTAGGCATAGGTGCATTAATTGAAAAAAAAAAAGAACTAGAGAGCCAGGACAGCAAATGTTTACAGAAAAAATAATGTGATCCTAAGCAGTTCTACTTTTTATTATGTTTTTTTCTTTGGATATTTCCTATTGCAGAACAACAAATGTAATCTGGAATACTGTACATGTAAAATGTTTTACCAGGTAAATTACAAAGGGCCATACGTGCTAAAAAAAATGAAAAAAATATGTTAAAAAGCTTAGGGGGGGTTACCACAAAACATGCGTTGTCGCTGATGTGCAAATGTTTTCTTTTCCTAACAATTCAACAGGTAAGAACTTTTCTCTATATATAACCAATACCCCTGGTCACTAATACATGCAAAAAAAAGTGACAGATGACTGTCACAGGTAAGGCAGAAACACGGAGGATGTGATTGGAAGCCTGGATTCATTGTCTACATATGCAGTGGCTTGCAAAAGTATTCACCCCCTTGGCATATTACCTATTTTGTTGCATTACCACCTGGAACTAAAATGGATATGGGGTTTGTATCATTTAATTTACACATTTAAATGTTTCCCCTTTCACTCACTCGAGTGTTGCTTTAGCATTATGCTAAAGGGTCATTGTCTTGCTAGAAGGTGAACCTCCATCCCAGTCTCAAATCTCTGGCAGACTGAAACAGGTTTCCCTTAAGAATTTTCCTGTATTTGGCTCCATCCATCATACCTTCAGTTCTGACCAGTTTGCTAGTCCCTGCCAGTGAAAAACATTCCTACAGCATAATGCTGCCACCTCCATTAAGGTGTTTCATTTTCTAAGGCAAAAAATAAACTGTAAAATGTTTGCAGACTTTGCTTAAGCCCCGAGTCTCAGTGATGTAAAATATATATATGATACATTTCAAGAAGATTGGATAATATTTAGAGGTTGCACACTTTGATCTGTTTTGTAAAAGTAGGCAAAAAATACGATTTTCAATGTTAATTACTTTTATTGGGAAAACTAGAAATCACAAACTTAAAATACTATTAAAACTATACACTAAGATTAATAGGTAATATGATAGGCAAAACATGTGTTATATTAATCAACTTTGAACGATGCAATCCCTTGTTTTGTTCGCTTGGTGACGACTTTTCTGTGATGCTCGACTACCCTCAACAAGAATTGTTTTTGTTGTTCATCCCTGACCGATTCGTTATACTTTTTTATCAGAGCAATTCCTCTTTCTGCGGTATCATTGACAACCTTAAGAGCGTTCACATGGCTGCTTAGAGAATCACTGCAGTATTCTGTCACGTCGTGTATCCCAAACAATTCAAAGAACATCTTTGTTTTATTAGTAACGAAATGGCTCAGGTCTTTTCCTTCAAAAAACATGTTTTTACCCTCTAATCGTTTCACTTCCTTTTTCTTTGCAGGTTTGGTTTCTAAATTTTTAGTCATATTTTCCTTAACAGCCTGAGTAATACGTTCGTCCAAAAAAGCCAATCCTACGTTTGTTTCTGACAGATACCAAAGGTGTCTCTTAGCAACTGTGAGAGCACATTTTTTGACGTCTGCATCTGGGTAAGTGCTCAGAAGCTGTAGCATATCCAAATCATTCTTTGGAGCCCATCGACTTACAATTGCCTCATGCCAAAAGCGAACATATATGAGGCTGGCAAAATGTGCAACCCGTTTCATTACTTCCAATTGTCATTGAGGAATATTCAACTGTTTAGTGAAGAGGACAATTTTAAGTGCAGAAGTGCAAAAGATGAAAGAAATACATGAGAAGACCATTAGTGTAAAGCACTTCAATGTTAGAAATGTCACTAGTTTGTGATAAAAGTGATCAATGTGTGCAACCCCTAAATATTATCCAATCTTCTTGAAATTTGGCATATATATCTTTTACATCACTAAGACTCGGGGCGTAAGCAAAGTCATATGAAAATCACATCTTTGGAAAAATGAAACACCTTAACCTCCATGCTTCACTGTGTATGGTGTTCTCGGGGTGATGAAAGGTCTTGAGTTTGGCCAGACATATCGTTTTTCCTTGAAGACCAAAAAGCTAAATTTTAGACTCATCGGACCACAGTACCTTCTGCCATATGTTTGGGGAGTCTCCACATGCCTTTTGGTGTTTGCTTATTTTTTTCTGGAAGCAATGGCTTTTTTTCTGGCCACTCTTCCATGAAGGCCAGCTTTGTGGAGAGTACAGCTTAAAGTGGTCCTATCTCCGCTGTGGAGCTTTGCAGCTCCCTCAGGGTTATCTTTGGTTTTTTTGTTGGCTCTCTGATTCATGCTCTCCTTACCTGGTCCATGAGTTTTGGTGGGTGGCCCTCTCTTGGCAGGTTTGTTGTGGTGCCATATTCTTTCCATTTTTTAATAATGGATTTAATGGTGTTCCTTGGGTTGTTCAAAGTTTTGGATTTTTTTTATAACCCAACCCTGATATGTACTTCTCACCAACTTTGTGCCTGACCTCTTTGGAGAGCTCCTTGGATTCTGCACGTTTGCGGCTACTATAGCCGGAACACTCAGAATCTGCCCAGAATATCAAGCTTGGACCTTTTTGTGTGACTTGCGTTTTTGCACTGCGTGGACATCCTGCAGGTGTGAACCAGGTACAATGTACTCTATTAGCTTTTATGTTTAGCGCGGTTCAGTGCAAAAACCACTAATATGTGAACGGAGCCTAAGCCATGGCAGTTTAAAGGAGATTTAAAACTCTGTGTAGATAGAACAGTAGAAAAGCACAGACTGAAAGGCTTTCATCTCTGCACAAAAAAAACAGCGTCAGCTTATTATTGGTGATGAATACAAAAAGAAGAAAACTAATTTGTAGAAAAAGAACATAAACTAAAATTTTCCCAGGTATCCTGAAATATCAATAATTGTAGAAATCCTTTTCATGGAGATTTAATTTAGGGTACTACTAACACTTTAATGTCATCTTACATTTCCTGCAGCTAATTCTTCACTTGGTTGACACAGCTAAACCAAATTAGCAGAAACCTGTACTGAAGATGTATTGAAAATGCTATTGCTGAACTCTCCCTGCTAATTGTCTGGCTGTTATGCTAAATCAACGGGTTTAGTACTTTCTGAGACACTGACCTGGAAAAAGTATACAGATCAAGGGTTCTGACTTCACTCTAACTTTTTAATCTGCATACTTGTTCAATGTCCATGGCTCAGAACGTACTGCTGTCAATGACAGCCAAGCAACTAATATTTTTAGAAGGATGTCAAAAATGGTAGCCCATGTATTTCTGTCACTACAGATTTCCTTTAACATCTACTTTTTCACTCTGTTCAAGCAGTTATGATATGCTTGGCATTTCAAAAGACTGAAACAATTACCCGTTCAGTGGAAACGCTAATGACGTGCTGATTCTCTTCATTGACTGCTATGTCTGCAATTGAAAATAAGTGACCAAACAATTTTGCCATAGGTTTCATGGTTACATCACGGTGCCACACGCGTATTACTTTGTCAGGTCCTAACAAAATAAATTGATGAAATCAGAAAGAAGATAAGATGTGGTAACATGACATAGATATTTAATTAATAATTACATCCATGTTTTTAAATTCTCCATATGAAGTACAATCTCAGATGAGAATGAAAGAGCAAAGTAAAAATTGTGCAAAAGTTGGCAAGCAGATCATCATAAAGTAGGAAGCAGGTAGAACAAAATCTATTTAGGGAAAAGAGGGAGACTTGAACTTACACCACCAAGGAGTCTGGTAGAGAGTAGTGTGGTCATAGAGAAAAACTTAATCATGGGGAGCCCGTATGTTCCAATACTGTTTGAAATGTTGATTCTGCCATAACCTAAACAATGGTTGTAGCCCTCGTAAAAGAAACCCATGGATGGTAAGTACTTATCTCACATTTGATGTGCTGTACCCATCTTACAAAGTCTGTGGTGACAGGGTCTTTTAAGAATTTTTAAACCTACAAAGTAGACCAAACTGCATACAGTGCATACTCTGCTGGTTGATTTACTAAAGGATAACATTTTCTATTTAGCTCAGTGAACCTGGATTTTCTTCTGCCATCCAATTATATTATATGAAAAGGAAATTCTTAATTTTCTATTTTCTGCACATAATTATCTAATCAAAGTGGACAGAGTTTCTTCTTCTCTACTACAGATATTATCAAACCCACTTTGAACTCTCACCAACAATACATTTGTAGATCTTCTCTAATGAAGACCTGAAAATATATCAAGTTTTTGAGATTCTACTGTTACTGTTGTGGCTGTGCACAATGTAGAGTTACTTCTCAGATACACTAAATCTGTCACAGCTTACTCACTCCATTTCCTCTAAGCTGTGTTTCTCTGCACAACCCCATACATGTATGGTGTGAACAGGGCCCTGACCATACCATACATGTGCAGTGGTATGCAGAAAACTCAGCTCATCGAACATGTAAAAAAGCATTAACGTACAGTTAAGTACCTAAACTATTAACACAAATGTACTTTATCTGTGTATCTTGCAGCTGCAGTTCCTCAAATCAACTCTGAATTGGTACTGACACTGTCCTTCTTTCTGGAGAGTGGCTACTTTTTGTTCCTCATACTTCCTGTGTGTGGTTTAAAATAGCCACCGCTCCAAGCTCGCTCCCGTCATAGAGTACAATCGCAGTACAAATGAGTAAACTAAACGTGAGATTGTAGCCAATCACTGAAATGAGCTTGAAGAGGTGGCTACTTTACAACATAGGGACCACAAATATGATACACAAATAAGCTACATTTTTGGTAATAGTTAAGGTACTTGAATACATTTTTAAAATTTAATTCATGAGTTTATTGTCATTTTAAGTGTTTGGGAAGGTTTAAAGTGGAACCAAAGTTAAAAATAAATGTTAGCAGGCAAATTATTGGTAGAAGAGACATTATAGGTCTCTTTGACCAAAGAAATTGTTCATGTGTCTGCTATCACATTTGTTATTAGTGTGCACTGTCACATACAGAGTTGTGGATGGAGCTATGAGTGACCATGCCAATGCTGGAAAAGGCCACACATGCAACTTCATGTGCTGCAGGTCCCTAGAGCTCTTGCCATAATGTGCACAATTTACTCTTGCCATAGTACTTGCAAATTATAGCAAGAGCTCTAGTGACCCACAACACATTTATTTCACCTTTAAGTGTTTAAGAGAGAGACTGAAATGTAGGGGGCAATTATTTTTGATTAGATTTAGGGGGCTGCAGATAATTCAGTATGAAGCCCCACACCAGAACTACTAGTGCTAGACTACCAGTGCTATGCACAAATATATGGTGAAACCAAACCCCTGAGTAAGTATGCAGATGAGGCACTTCAGAAGGGGCAAGGGGAGTGCAACTAGGGCTGGACTTGGCTTTTAGTCAGTAGCTAATTAGCTGCCTTCTGTCCTTATGCTTTTTTTACCCTATGGAGCAGCCCAAAAACCCCAATTATATATACACTGAGTGGCCAGATTATTATGACCAGCCCATGAGTACTTAGTTGGGCCACAAGATAACTCCACGAGATTACTTTGTTGGGCCGCCTCGTGACTCCATGAGATGTTGAAAGGTGATGCAAGGAATCTGACACTGCACTGTTGCCCTTCTGTTGTCTTGTACCAGTCTTGCCACTCTCCGTTCTGCCCTAACATTGACTAGTCGCTGACGGCCACAATTTGCACATTCAGACCCAGATTTTCGGCTGACAGTCCAGTCTTTAAACACTTTAACAACAGCTGCTCTTGAACATTTAACGAATTCTGCTGTTTTGCTTATACTCGCTCCATGGCTCGCACCAACAATCATCCCACGTTCAAAGGCTGTTAAATCGCGTTGTTTACCCATATCTTCAGAAAAAATCACTTCTACTGTCGTGGTAAACAACCTGCTTCCCTATTTATAATGGTCTGGCGCTCTAGCATCTGCAGCGCGAAATTATAGCTAATTATAGCTAATTTGCCTACAAACGTCAGGTGGTCATAATAAACTGGCCACTCAGTGTATATATATATATACAGGTGAAACTCGAATAATTAGAATATGGGGAAAAGTTCATTTATTTCACTAATGCAACTTGAAAGGTGAAACTAATATATGAGATAGACTCATTACATGCAAAGCAAGATAATTCAAGCCGTGATTTGTCATAATTGTGATGATTATGGCTTACAGCTCATGAAAACCCCAAAAACCCCAAATCCACAACCTCAAAAAAGTAGATTATTACATGCAATCAATAAAACAAGGATTGTACATAGAACAATATCGGACCTCTGAAAAGTACAAGCATGCATATGTACTCAGTACTTGGTTTGGGCCCCTTTTGCAGCACTTACTGCAATTACTTTTGCACGATATTCTAATTATTCGAGTTTCACCTGTATGGTCTTCACACATAAATACATTTGTGGTCTGTGCTGTTTGTCATGTATGGTGTGTCTTAGCTGCCCTTTCTTCTGCTCCACTGTGCTGCTGTTGAAGCACCCTTTGTTAGTGAGCTCTCACTTTTGCCTGTCAGCCAGAAATTACTGCCTGAATTGTAAAACCTTCTTGCATTGATGATTTACAGCTCAGCTCTTTAGATCTCTATAGACTGTGGCAAATGTTAATAGCACAGCTTAGAGGAAATAATTACACATACTGAATCAATCTTCAAGAACTGCTAGGTGCCCATAGATGGGCAGATGTCTTAGCTATGAATTAAATGTTTGCAAATAATCCTCTTACTCAAAAGAGCAGTGGTACCTGCCACAATCCTCATCTCACAGTGGTTCACAAACCTGGGTTTGTGGTTAGGAGCACCTAGTAATAGAAATTGTTGTCTCATTTGGAAATTTGTTTAAAATATTTGTGGAACAAAAACATCATATACAGTCAATGTGTTTCTGGGTAATGGACACCCGCTTCTTTAGGGCTTAAACTATAATATGTAATGAAATCTGGAAAAAAACACTCTAAGTTTAGGCAGGATAAGGGCTAAGTGTCAGCATGGCCTGATTAACAGTCAGGACAATTGCTTGTCGATATCTTAAGTTTCTGTTCAATAAACATTCTAAACAGACTTCCATGCAAGAAAACCATTTGTTACTAGGCACCCCTAACCACATACCCAGGATTCAGGATTGCCCTATTGTGATCAGAGAGGCAGCAACCTAGGGCCTTAACCAGGCCTATACTACCTACTAGTTTTATGCATCTACCCTCTCCAAGGAGTATGCCCCATCATGTGATACACAGAAAAAAGAAGCCCATCTATACTAGCCCAGCCTTACCGCAAACCTACCAGTGGTCCACAACCAGAATTTCTAATCTTTCTATCTTTCACATAAAAGAGTGACTAATAGGCCCTGCTCACAAAGATTTGTGAGACATACCAGGTGCTTCACCTGCTTTCTGACAAAAACAGACTAATAATCAAGATCAACTTTCCATATCAAACATCTTGTTTTTTACTGAGCCATCTGTGGACAAGATAAGTGCGAGACAGTTTCTGCTGAGGTCCAATCTAAATATCTGGAGTTATGGAAGCTGAGCCCTCTAAACAGTAATGGCTGCCAGCTGGGTTGTAAAATGGAACAAGAGACATGCTTGTCTCTGGCTACTGTTGTTTCTGCTAGAGAAGCTTAGTCTTTGCCACTGCATACACACACAGATTTATGCATCTACACAGTGGTTTCAAAATGGGGACCGGTGGCAGGAAAAAAAAAAGTAGGGAAAAATAAATATGTTGGGAACTTGACAAAATAATTAGGGGGACACTATCTTCTTCTTGGGTGATAAAGGATAATGCACCGGTGCTTATTGCATGCACCAATGTGTTTCTGGTTAAAACAAGAGATGTAAATAAGCAATAAATCATCAAGTATTGCCTGCATCTTAAAAATCTAAATAAAGGTTTATGACCATGAAGCTCTTACCTCCAGTTACAATCATGTCGGCTTTCACACAGAATGCAAATGCTGTGATACCTTTTTCAACTGAAAAACCTCTGACTGGCCTGTTTGTTGAAAAATATTTAATGCTTTAGAGTTAACTAGTCTTACTTAAATACAAGATAAAATGTTAGTGTTGCTTATATGGTTGGCCTACATAATTAATTTCTGTCAGTTTAAAAAACATCTAAACTGACAACATAAACACCTTTTACATGTATAACATTACAGCACTAAAACTGAAGTAATCATAAGCATTAGATCATGAACATTTCATGCTTAAGATCACTAATCTCGTTCACTAGTGTATAAAAGAAACAAACGTTATCTATAAATATCTGTACAGAAATGACTAATAATAAATACCATGCATCTTTTATCCTTTGTACATTATCCAAAATCAAAGAAAGTTTGCTGTCAAGAGAACTTGATGCAAAGCAGTTTAGTTCTTGAATAAACTTTACTTTAACAACACAATCATTGTGCAGCTTCCTCTTGAACCTAAAGATAAAATGCAAAGAACAATTAAATATATTTAGTTCTTTTAACAATAACTATATATGGGTCTATATGGGTTGGACTTGATGGACGTATGTCTTTATTCAACCCCAAATACTATGTAACTATGGCCATATCATTAGTTGCTGGTTGTTAAAGATATGTCATTATTCTCCCTCAAGGAGTTCCCTATGTTGCCTTTCCTCTCTGTGATTGGTGGATTTTGCCAGTTAACATAAAACTGAAGCCAGCAGGGTCACCAGAACTAGTGTCCCCACTGGAAGATTTCCAACCTATTTCTGTTCTGAAGTCAACCCAAAATTTTGGATTTTCTTTCACCTTCACTTTCAGTGATAACGGTCACCAGGATTAATAAAGAGAGTAAATAAAAACCTGACAAGCCTCCTGCAACCCCCTCTCCATTTTATCCAAAACTAAAAAAAAGTGTTGGCTTCAGTTGCACTTTAAGACAAAGAGCATGTTGGCGAGCTTGGGCTGGTGTAGCTGAGAGGAGACCTGAACGGGGAGAGCAATGTCTTTGTCTTTGGTCCCTGGTCTAGAGAACAGGGGGATAAGAATTCACGATGTAATCGGTGTCTGGGTCTTTCCCCCAGAGTATAGCACCATTGGCTGTGCTTCCCCCTGGGGGGTCATTGAGTGTGCCTCCACTGTCTCTACTCCAAGGCAAGTGAGGAGAGCTGCGAGTGCAGAATAAGTAGTTAGGGAGAAAGTGTTCCTGTGGAAACTTCGATCATGATGCAAGACCTGTGCTTAAACTTTGAAGGCTCATGGACACCAACTCACGCGTTATGCTGGTAATTTCAAGCCTGATGAAGGGGACCCTGTGTGGCCCTGAAACATTGCTAATTTGCGTGGGTGCAGCACGATCCTTACATATATGCTCCATTTAACACACATGCTAGTGTATGTTGTAGGCGGTGCAATGTGTTGTTACAACTCATCACACTGTTTACTTTTTCTTTAACTTTATTGAACATAACAAAAAACACACCTCTTTCATCTTCATGCACCACAGCTCGTTGCAACACGCTGTGGTGTGTTGACATACGTTCACATGGTGAGGTGTATTGCACTGTGTACAAATGCAGATATTCTACCCCTTTATTACATAACACACACGGCTGCACATGCATGGTGTGGACATGGCACACAGAGAACAATTACTTTCTATGTGCTCTTGTGTTGAGCCTGCGTTGACCAATTCAGATCAGAAACCATTAAGAAATGGATTCATTTCAGCAGAGTGAATTCTGAATAGTTGCACTTAAGTTTTTGCGCTTATTTTAAAAATAAGTTCTCTATCACCCACTGAAGATTTGGCATTTAATATGCAGGATTTTATACTAGAGTGCAGGATATAACTTAGAAATGGAGAGAAATCAAGGCCTCATGTGCACCCTGGGGATAAAGTCTAAAGGGCTCCACACGGACATGGTTGTTAAAGACTAACACAAGTACTACTAGGTACCCAAACTTGTTAGAGACTTTTTAGGCCAGGTCATATAGACTTTAGAGAATGTGATATTGTTAGATCTCAGATCTTGAAATTACAATTTATACAATTTATATCTTTTATCAGAGGAACAGTGAATATATATTCAACATGTACATTTAAGAGGTATGGCATGATTTTCAAACATAAAAGTACAATAATTATATTATATCATATAAGTTGTTCACTAAATTAAACTACTTTAGAATACTTATTGGACTTATGGGCACCACATCCCTTATTACCTAAATTACTAAATTAAGTTATAATGAGGTATACGTTAAATTTTATGTTAGGGTATTATTTGGTTATTAGTAGCTTCAAATCTATTCTTACATTGTCTACATTGGAACAATATCAGTACCTAATCATTGGGGCTGCATTCAAGCTGATAACCATCCACAACTAGCTGACCACAAACAAAAGGTAGGGAGCCTCTCTAGCTGTAAGCTGATAAAGCAGACATTTACACTAGAAAATCAAATTCGGCCAATGCATCCCTCTATGTATGATGATTTATAATCAGTTTGCCAAAGCAATGCACAGTGGGATTGCCTTGTCATCAGCAGAGCATTGCTGGGAAATGTCTTCTGTAATCTCATGACATCTCCGGGAAAGGCATTTTCCTCCCCTGAGATGATGTGCATGGTCACATGTCCTAGTCACATGTCTAGTCACATGTGCCAGAAATCCAGCAAGTAAAAGGAGATCTAGTAATCTGCCCTTAATAAACATGGCCACTGTTAGAAGACTGTGGAAGAAAAGAGAAATAATGTATATAAAGAATACAAAGCCTGCAATTATATATAAGTATGTGTTTGTAGATTGTCATTACTAAACATTTCTAAAGGTGTGTGTTTGTTGTTATTTTAAAGATATGGGTAAAGGTCTGCTTTACCACTGCAGGAAGTTGAACTTTCTTTTTAATTATTAAGATAAGAGAAGACAGAATATATAAATGACAAAAGTACAAAACAATGTACAATAAGCCACTTTAGAATCTATTTTTAGGGATCAGAATGACTTACTGTGTGAATTTCCCAGAGTCTAGGACAACTGACTGAGATAACACTTTTGATTTTGAGTGGTCTGGGTGAAGGTCAGTACTTGCAATAGAGAACAAGGTAACGAATCCAGCGTCATCACCGACCAATATTTCTTCCTTCACAGAATCATCTTGTGAATTTACAGTACAGATGCAATGCAGGCAGTTCCCCACTGGTCTGATGGAGACATACTTATCCTTTCAAAGAAATGACAGCTAATTTGATGAGTAACAGAGTACAACCTCACAAATAAGTCACAATAATAGTTCCTAATATATCGTACTATCGAACATTCCACCTATACTCTACAAACACACACAAAGAACAAGTAAATAAATGCACATAGTCAAGTTTCAGGTGGGCTCTGCAGGGTCTGTGGTGGGCTCTCCGGGGTCTCAGGTGGGCTGTGAGGATCTCTGGTGGGCTCTGCAGGGTCTCAGGCTGCCAAGCCCACCTGAGACCCTGCAGAGCCCACCACAGATCCTGCAAAGCTCTTCTGAGACCCAGCAGAGCCCTTCACAGTTCCTGCACAGTCTCCCTGAGACTCTGCAGTCTCAGGGGGGCTGTGCAGGATCTGTGGTGGGCTCTAAAGCATCTCAGGGGGTTTTGCAGGATCTGTGGTGAGCTCTGCGAGGTCTATGGTGGGCAGAGCCCCCCACAGATCCTGCACAGCCCCCCAAGACCCTGCATGAGACTGTGCAGAATCTATGCTGGGCTCTGCCAGCACAGTCCTCACGGAAAAACCCAGCCTCCTCCGCTGCCCGACCGCTTCAGAACACGGCCTGCTTGTCCTCGGCGCCCAATAGTTGAATCTTCACCGCCCAAATGGAGCTCCGGCAACCCCTCCCGCCTCCTATGTTGTCGCCTCTGCCCCCGCCTCCTCCATCTTCGCCCCCGCCTTTTCCATCTCTGCCACATATCCTCTGTCTCTGCCCCCTGCCTCCTACTGCTCTGTCCCCGTCTCATCCTGCTCCACCCCCTGCCACTTCCTCCCTGTTCACATTAGGCAGCCAGGCTGCTGGTTTCTGTGCACTGAGATAGGTAGGAGGCGAACATGAGAGAGCAGAGTCTTGTAGGCCAAGCGAGTAGAGTTTTTTTTGTTAGGAGTACATAGTATTGTTCTTTCTTAAACAATTAGGTTGTGAGAGTATTATAAGGCCAAACTAGAGCTGAAATCTATGTAATGGCATTTAAAATAATTATATTTTAAATCTTTTTAGAATACATAAGGCTTGTGTGATTTTGTTTCACATGTTAGCCCATTTGTCAGCTGATAAAGACATTGGCGACCCCTAATCATGAATAGGTTGTAGGTTTAAGCTATCCACAGACAATAAATGGCAACTGGATATTTACAAATAGTCAGATTTTTAAAAGACCTTTCACAAAAAGAGGCATCACAAAAAGAGGCATTTACATTCTATCCTATCAAGTTGGATGTCTGTGTGTACTGGAGAAATTTATAGTGCCGCTATTACCTTCAGGGGCAATAGTCTATTGGCCAAAAAACTTAGCTTGCTCGAAGACCTATTCCATTGGGAATGTCTACAGATATCAAAGTACCGTGTAAAACAGTCAAATATATAAAGTATATTTACTGTTTATTGGGGTCACCAAGAAAGCTGCAAATGCTACTAGAATCATATCCATACAGTTTTAACATTAAAACACACCTGCTGTTTTCCATGGCACTTATAATCCCAAAAAACAATGCTTCTTTCTGTCACAGCGACAACTCTCTTCATCCGATTAAGGAAATCACAGCCTAGAAACCAAGAATTTTCCTAAAAAAACACATGAAACATTTGCAAAAACAGAACAGCACCAGCAAAAGTTAAGTCATGTTACATGTTGTGTACTGGCCAAAGCAGCCTACAGGCTTGTAGCTTGGATACAACCCTTTTACAAATCCCCAATCTTCTTCGTCATAATGTGGGTGGTGGAAAGCTCATGTATTCTCCACAGACCTCTGCCTCTCTTAGCGACACTCATCAGCTGAAATATCTACTAACACAGTATACATGAGAACATTCCATGATGGCTGATCCACCTTTGGAGTGTTGTGGGAATTGTAGTAGAAGGGCCTTTTAATTCAGTATAGTCATACATTGTGTTCTGTACCTTAATGTAGCCATCATCACCTTTTGTGAAGTGGCTACTAGAAATGTAGTGATTACCAGGGCTGTAGTCAGCCTGGCTGGATTATAGTTGACATTTATCGGGTTAATTCCAGGTGTCTGGCATTGATTGTACCTACCTGGGTGGAGTGTGACTCTAGTGTGGGACAATCAATGATGGGCACTGTGAGTGTATGTGCAGTTCACCAGCCAATCACTGGGTCTCTCTCAATGTTGCATGCCGGGATAGGGTACATATACTGGGGGGAATTGCCATGTGCTCAGTCTAGTTCGGGACCAGCCATGGATAAGTCCAGTGCTGGATGCTGTCCAGCCACAACGCCAAGCTAGGCCTGAGGCCTGGGGGTGGAGATGCTGGAGTGGGGGTAGTGTTTCTCTAGGCCTCAATTATGGAGGAGACCTGTGCTATTGCTAGAGGAAGAGAACCAGGAAAGTGGATGTCTGCTGTAGGTACCTGGAACATAGTGGACCTCATGAGCAAATCTGGTGTCTCTCCTGTTAAGGATCTGTGCTCATCCCTGCTCATCTGTCACCCAAATAATTACTGTTCTGCTTCTCCTTCACTGTCCACTCACAAGGTAGGGGAGGATCCATGACAGCCAGGGTTGAGAAGAACAGGGTTGAATGATACTGGGCATCTAATGGCAGAAAATAAGTATTGTGGGGGACAGTTCCAGATTGAGAGTGAGTTTTGCTGCAAAAGCTGTTTTTTATTTTATTTTTTCAGGACTATAAATTTGTTTTTTATTTTACCCGTCATTTTTTTCTTAGTAATTCTACATGATCCACATAACATGGAGCATGGCTGGGGTGTGTGCTTTGGCTACATACTTTGTGCTTAATAGTGTCTCTTTTTTCATCTCAGAAAGTGCTACTGATAAACATCCTGTGTCATTACCCGTATTTAAAATCCTCTAGCCTTGATACTATTCAGTCATTGTCAAAATGTGTGCCGCATAGACAAAATTAGTACAAACTTCATCCCAGCACTAAAATAATCCACAACACTCACCGCTCAGATTCCACAGTCAGATCCATGTTAAGAGGAACCTCCAGGTGCTGGTGAAAGGCTCCCTCCCACCTGTATGAATATTTGTCCAAGAAGAGCCACACTCAATGCCTCCTCCCAAATAAATCCAAATTTTAATTTAATTTTAATCCATGAAACAGCATACACCTTCCAAAGCTCAACAGAAATAAATAAATTATCTCCTTACATGTTTCACTCACAGGGCGTAATCATAAGAATGAGTTCCTATTCCTATGATTAAGCCCTGTGGTTGAAACATGTAAGGAGAGAGTTTCTTTCATTCTGGGGAGCTTTGGAAGGTGTATGCTGTTTCATGGATTGAAATTAAATTTGGATTTCTTTGGAGGAAGCATTGAGCATTTCTTGGACAAAAATTAATTCCAGCACTGACTGGTTACCATAAGGATGCGGAAATAGGAAAAGTGTTTTTTTGCCCATAACAACTAGTTCCTTCATTCATTCTCTAATCGGCAATATCATTATCCTATCTAATGACAGGAACAACCCAGAAAAGTCTTATTTTTTGTTATGGGTGTAGAGTGTCCATATTATATAAGAAAAATATATTCTTCTTCGTACACAAACTTCTGTGAAAATGTCATCGCACTCAGCAATTTCTTAGACTTTTAACATGACAATATCCAGAACATATACTTACAGTTGCATGTACATAAGCATATTGTCTCATCTGTGTAGACAAAATATACATAAAATGCCATTAGAAGTGCTGCAAATGTAAAAAAAAAGCATTTGAGTAAATGATAATTATGAATCTTTATATAGTGTGTGTCTCTGTTTAAAGTGATATTAAAGTCTAAGGGGGTTATTCACGTAGGACGAACTGAAGGTCTGCTGTACGGGCTATTCACTATATCCCGTATAGCAGCCAAAGGCTCGACTGAGCTAAAGTGATAGCTGAAGCAGGCCAAACGCCGCCTTTTGCCCCGCAAATGACAGCTGGGCGAAGACAGCCATAATCTCAGTTGTAATGACAGATCAGCGTCCCCAAATGACCTGGGGACGCTGATCTGTCATTAAACACTAACAACTGGGTGGAGCCGACCATGATGTCACAGGCGGCTCTGCTCAGTTGTTATTAATTGGCCTGGACCTGCTAGAAGACTCTAGCAGGTCCTGGCCAATAGGAAACAGTTGGGCGGAACTAGCTGTCACTTTTTTTTTTTTTTAAATCTTTCTTTTTTTAATTTAACTATTTATTTGCTTTTTTTAATGTAACCCTTTTTTTAACACTCTTTTCACTGATTTTCTATTCTGCTCGGTACCACGGAGGTATGCTCGGCGGCATTCAGCTATTCACTCACTGCCGCTTGGCCCCTATGGGAAAAGGGGCGAACGGCAGCAAGTGACCTGCTGGAGCTTCGGCTCAGCTGATCCAGATGTTGGATCGGCTGAGTTGAAGTCTTTCTGCACTTCAGCTCAGCCGAACATGCAGAGCCTGTTCAGCTGACCGAAGTGCAGCCGTAGTCAGCCGATGTACGGCTGATTTCAGCTGATGTACGGCTGAAATCAGCCATACTGAGCCGTAGTAAATAGCCAAACGTTGTTCGGCTCACTTCACTTTGGCTGGGTTATTCACTTGGCTGCCTTCGGGAGCTTTGTGAATATCCACCTAAATGTTTTTAAGCTATTTCAAATGCTGATTAAATCACTTGCAATGGATGCTGCTCCTTGATGTTTTAAAGTTTTAGACATCAGCTGTTTGGAAATATGATGACTGCTTGGGAAATAATGTAAAGAATGTAAAAAAAATTGAGAGCTTTATACTACTTTAAGTGCTAACATGTTTAAACCCAACTGCCCAGGCAAAACTTTTTTTATTTTGCATTGCAATGGAAAAAAGTAGGGCATGCACTACTTTTTCTCACTGCAACACAAAGTATTGTGGTATCTATCGCTGCTCTGCGTTGCAGCATATGGCACTAAGGAGATGCATTGGGGTGCCATTCAAATGAATGACAATCCAATGCACCTATCCCCCGGTAATGCAGAGCAAGTGCGCTGTGCGATAGCATGCATGAATCGCACGGTATCCTACAAATTGGCCCTAAAGCAGTTTTACTTACCCGATGCTCACTCCCCTGGTCGGCGCTCATCTCTCTCCCCTCCAGCTGTGAAATGTCCCTTGTTGTCCTCACACCTAATGCAGGGCTATGGACTGTGCATTAGATGTGATGACATCAGCAGGCCTCTGTCCGCCAGAGTGGAGGGAGAAAAGAGTCTGCAGGCACCAGTCTTGAAACCAGCGGGAGTGGGGATCAGGTAACTAAAACTGCTTTAAATAACTCCCCTAGACAAAAACGAAAAGTTAATCCTAGCAGTGCGGGGGAAGACTGCAAGGAAAGTTTAGAACCCTTTTTATAGATATCTGTATATCAGACCAACTGAAGAGGAAAGAGGGACAGAGGGATTTGATTCAAAATGTTTTGAGGGACAGTCTCTCCAAATGAGGGATAGTTGGGCGGTATGGTGTTAGGGGTTACATAGATGGTTAGTGTTTTAGAGTTATAGAAAGGGTTAGTTTGATGGTTTTGGTTGTAGAAAGAGTTAGTGTGAGAGGTCTGAAGGTATGACTTGACTTTCTGCTCAAAGAGTGCGATGCTTGAAACTAACAGCACCAATCTCCTAGTGCTGAGCTTATTTATCAGACTTACTTGAAAAAAATAATAAACTCCACTTTTAATTAATTAAGTAGTTTTCTTATCACAGCTACAGTACATGAACTTCCCCTAAGAGCAGACATCCTGAACTGGCACACGTACAACAAGATTGAAAAATATATGAGGGACTTATAATAGGATGTCCGCACCTCATTGACAGACACAATTCATTGGGGCCAACAAAGCTCATCCAGCCCTAAAAGATGTGGACATTCAGAATACAAACAGTACATTTGACATGTATGGGTGACAATAAATGTGACTGAAACAGGATCACACCCATTAGCCCATGATGTATTTGTTATAGATTGTTTGCTTCTTCACACCTATTATCAGACACATTATCATGTCATATGTCTATTATTGCAGGTTAGATCTCTAATACATAATTCAGCCTATATTCATCCTAGTATGGGCAGGAGATAATCTCAACCAAGAGTGGTATACTGTACATTATTAATACTGTATACCTGGCTGTTGTAAAGGGATATGGTTCCATTTCGTGAAACAGTCAGTACACTATCTAGTGCGGGGACCTTAACAACACATTGGATTATATCTCTCTTCTTTTTGCCACCTCCTGTTAATAAAAGAAAGGTACTTAATAACATTGACCAGCTAATTATCAGTAAAAACCATGCCCACCAATACATAAAATGTTACTACAGGTATACATCTCCAGAAAAAGAGAGATTGAACTGTATCAATAAATTCAACAGTAGACAGGCTAAAACTGATTAAAAACAATCAGCATTTTATTAAAGTCACATGACTAAGATTAATACAGACACTCATGATAGCCCGGTATTGTTACATTATCACTCTAAATGAAAGTTTTATACACTTTTCAGATACAGAAACAAAAATATTGGTCATGTAATAACTCATGTTATAAGACTGGAAACATATAAAAGCTTACAGTGTTATTCACAAAAGGGTTAAGAGTTTGGAGAAGGCAGGAGAAGTGGACAATCTAGGCCAAAATAGCCGATTTAGAACAATTCTCCAATTCAGCTCACATTCCAATTCAGCTATGTTGTCCTAGATTGTTCACTTCTCCTGTCTTCTCCAAACTCTTCACTCTTTTGTGAATAACCCTTTTAAAGTGATATCAAAGGCTAATTTAGGGTTAGTGATAAAGATAATGAACACTAAATCCTGTAAGAACAGGCACTCTGCAGTTAACTATCCATTGAACTTTTAACAAAACTATCATTAAAGGAACTATGGGGTCAGGGCTTTTCCCCATAGTTCTCCTTAGGGTAACGGGAGGACACAAACTAGCGTCCTCCCATCACCCTAGGCTCAGTATACCGCGAGCTACAGCTCGCGGTATACTGAGACGCCGCAGCCGGAGCGGATCCGGAGCCGGAGCTGGAACACTCTTGCCAGTAGCAGAAAGCGATCTCATCACTATGCTGCTTCTCCTTTGACTACCAGTCACAGTCTGGGGTGGGTCCTCAACCAGACTGTATTGTTCAGCTGCAGTGAAGTCTGCAGTGAAGTCTGCAGAGAAGTCTAAAGGTGCCCATACACCTTTCGGCCGATGATTGAACCGACGTACGAATTTCGTAGGTTGGCCCCATCCTGCCCCGATTATCGCAAAGGTTGGATCAGCGGTAATTAGAAGAAAGCACCTGGACGAATTGCAGTAATCGACCGCACGTATTGACATCTGCGCTTGTGCAGTGTAGATCGTATGAATTTTAACGTATGGAAACGCCACCAACCTTGCAAAAATCGTACGATCGATCAACGTTTTCTAACCTGCTGGTTAGTCAAAAGTCGATCGATTATACAGTATTTGCGGTTGTACACTGCCCATCAACCTTACGAATATCGGACGAAAACGCGATCGCATATGCAAATCGGCCGATTATCGCAAAGGTTGGATCAGCGGTAATTAGAAGAAAGCACCTGGACGAATTGCGGTAATCGACCACACGTATTGTCATCTGCGCATGTGCAGTGTAGATCGTATGAATTTTGACGTACGGAAACGCCACCAACCTTGCAAAAATCGTACGATCGACCGAAGTTTTCTAACCTGCTGGTTAGTCAAAAGTTGATCGATTATACAGTATTTGCGGTTGTACACTGCCCATCAACCTTACGAATATCGGACGAAAGCGAACGCATACGCAAATCGGCCGATATTCGTAAGGTGTATGGCCAGCTTTAGAGAGTACACGGCCTGCCTGGCAAAACTGAATGATCAGAGTTTAAAATATTCTGGGAGGTAATAAGTACAGAGCACCATAATTTCCCTAGTTAAGACATTTTAATGCACCTCTGATAGCCACTTATGGCTGTCAAATGAAGACAGATGATCTGGGGAACAAATTCCATGAACGTATATGTACTGTACACATTCGACCTTAAGCCTATTCATAACACTGAATATTTTATTACCTGTTGCACTTTCAATTGTTTCTCTTTTGCTTAACCAGAAAACTGTATTCTCTGCATTCATCTGTAATGAAATAATGTCCTCTTCTGTCTGAAAATAGGCAAAGATCTAGAACAGATATATCAAAAACATGTAAGGTGCCGAACCGAATGCTGCTAAGATGGTTGTGCAATTTTAATTTTATACATTTTTTGAAGTTAAACTTAAAAATTCATTCAAGTGCCCGAACTATTTACAACAATATATTTTATTTGTGTATCACTCGGCTGTAGATCCTCAAATCATCTCTGAATAGGTGCTGACACTGTCCTTCCTTCAGGAGGATGGCTACTTTTCTTCCCCATGGTCCCTGTGTGTTATAAAGTAGCCACTGCTCCAAGCTCACCCCCATAATGGACTTCAATCTCATGTTTAGTTTTTCTAATTTGTATGGAGATTGTAGTCCGGATATGAACACAGAAAAGCGCCAAAAAGGACTACTCCGCCAGTATAGACCAATATAAGCACAAGTGTAATCAGAAACAAGTCTGTTAACAAATATATAAATAATAAAATGCACGTGTGTAGAAAGGTCTGCAGGATGCTGCCCCCAAACCAGCCAGGGAGACCGCAAAATCTAGGGAAAAAAACACAAACAGGGGGCGCCTTTCCTGGTGCAGACAAATTTATTAAGATCAGGATCAAAGGTAGATAAAAAACATACTCACAAAATTCAGCATGATAATGATATAAAAAGTAAGTCCATGGACCCAACAGAAAGTCTATGGAAGCTGCACAATCGTGTCTATGTGTCAGCAGAGGAGACTGTGTGATGTGTGATGACGCGTTTTCCGGGGTCACACCCCCTTCATCAGAGTCCATCTCAGGAGTGAGCTTAGAGCGGTAGTTACTTTACAGCACACACAGGGACCATGGGGAACAAAAGTAGCCACCCTCCAGAAGGAAGGACAGTGTCAGCACCAATTCAGAGATTATTTGAGGATATACAGCCGAGTGATACACAAATAAGATCCATTTTTGTTTATAGTTATTGTTATTATTATGTTATAGTTAGGGTACTTGAATGCATTTTTAAGATTTAACTCCTTAGTTTAGCATCACTTTAAAACCACACTCCAATGATAATACACAAATAAGATACATTTTTCTTAATGAGTTATTAAGTTTAGAGTCCAGGTCAAATGTACACATTTTATTTTCGTGCAAAGTTCCAATTAATCCTGATATCTGCATTCTTATCATTTCTATCTTCCTTTGTGCTAAGTGGGGGGTCTGCCTGATATAATCACATAATGAGCCTCTTTATTGTAAGACTAAAACTGGTTTCATGGGAAACAAATTACATTACTTGGGGTGTTCTCTATACAGACGGTAACGCCCCATTTCCAGGCTAACAAAAAAGTGACACTCTTCTGGTAAAAAGCCATAGCTGGATGCAGACTTAAATAGAGAAGAAATGTTAAAGTGATATTAAAGTCAAAAGGTTTTTAAGCTACACTACAGTATATTGCAAAAAGTATTGGGACACCCCTCCAAATCATTTGATTCAGGAATTCCGTGAAATATCCTTGCTACTGAATATATTCCACAGTCAACTGTTAGTGGTATTATAACAAAGTGGAGGCAACTGGGAACAACAGCAACTCAGCCACGAAGTGGTAGGCCACGTAAAATGACAGAACGGGGTTTAGCGCATGCTATAGTGCACAGAAGTTGCCAACTGTCTGCAGAGTCAATAGCTACAGACATCCAAACTTCATGTGGCCTTTAGATTGGCACAACAACAGTGCGTAGAGAGCTTCATGGAATGGGTTTCCATGGCCGAGCAGCTGCATCCAAGCCTTACATCACCAAGTGCAATGCAAAGCCTCGGATGCAGTGGTATAAAGCCCGCCGCTGGACTCTAGAGAAGTGGAGATGTGTTCTCTGGAGTGGCGAATCATGCTTCTCTGTCTGGCAATCCGATGTATGTATCTAGGTTTGGTGGTTGCAGGGAACGCTACTTGCCTGACTGCATTGTGCCAAGTGTAAAGTTTGGTGGAGGGGGGGTTATGGTGTGGGGTTGTTTTTCGGGGGTTGGGCTTGGCCCCTTAGTTCCAGTGAAGGGAACTCCTAAGGCATCAGCATACCAAGACATTTTGGACAATTTCATGCTCCCAACTTTGTGGGAACAGTTTGTGGGAACATGACTGCGCACCAGTGCACAAAGCAAGGTCCATAAAGACATGGATGAGCCAGTTTGACGTGGAGGAACTTGACTGGCGTGCACAGAGTCCTGACCTCAACCTGACAGAACACCTTTGGAATGAATTAGAGCGTGAGCCAGGCCTTCTCGTCCAACATCAGTACCTGACCTCACAAATGTGCTTCTGAAAGAATGGTCAAACATTCCTATAGACACACTCCTAAACCTTGTGGACAGCCTTCCCAGAAGAGTTGAAGCTGTTATAGCGGCAAAGGGTGGGCCAACTCATTATTGAACCCTATAGGCTAAGACTGGGATGCCATTAAAGTTCATGTGCGTGTAAAGGAAGGCGTTCCAATACTTTTGGCAATATAGTGTACAGTATTTCAAATGCTGATGAAATCACTTACAATGGATGTTGCTCCTTGATGTGTTTAAACGTTTTACAAGGTTATTCACTAAAGGGTGGAGAGTTTGGAGGAAGCAGGAGAAGTGAACAATCTAGGACAACATAGCTGAACTGGAAAGTGAGCTGAATTGGACAATTTTTTCAAATGAGCTATTGTGGCCTAGATTGTTCACTTCTCCTGCCTTCTCAAAACGCTTCACCCTTTTGTGAATAACCCTGTTAGTTTCCTGCAGAATCAGCTAGTCTCCTGAGCACTGGTCCTGACTTCCTGTTTTAGGGTGGCTCCTTCCTTTTACAGAGTTCTATGGAGCCACCCTTGTGTGTGCTTGTAATCTGTGTGTGTCTCCACAAACACACAGGCACAGCAAGGCAAGACAATCCCATTCTCCCTGCTCCTGCCTTTTCCCTTTTTCTGTTTCCAAGCTAGTAGACGGACAGCTTCTGGAGTCTGCTCTGTCCCTTATGATCTTATACTGGGCAAGAAGTTCAGGAAAGCTGTTCTAAGAAAGTTGGAGCCAGCTGTTAGGGAACATGATGACAGTAAGTGCTGGGACAATCATCTAATGAAATACATTGCTGGACAAGGTACTGTATATCTGTGTGATCTGGATCCATAATTGAAAAAAATGTTTGAGCCTTTAATACTACTTTAATAACAATAAAATGTGAAGTTGCTTGTTTAGTAATGTTCAATAACGTTTTAATGCAAGTGGAGTTTACAGTTTTGAGAAAACTTATTCATAAAATAACAGAGCTTACACTAAAGAGCAAGATACTACGTACAGTATTTACATACAAATTTGTAGAAGAATCTGCCTATATTTATTTTCCAAGAAAATAGCAATTTCACAAGGTGCAATAGCCTTTAGTACACATTATAAATGAGTGGATTTATATGCTGCAACTCTGCAGACTTTGGTTTTATGTTCCTAAAATAGTAGGTGTGGGTCAACTTTAAATATACTATTGTAAAGCAAGGATGAAAGTACTAAAGAAACAAGTGATTTACTTACTTCAGTCCAATCAAGTGGAGCATCTGGGTGTTTGGAAATTTTCTGGTAAAATGCCAAAATATCTTTACTATTAACATCTTGCCCAAACAGAGATTTAACGGTATCATGAAATTCAACATAACTGATAACAGCTGCAAAATAAAAACAGCATTACACAAAAAAAACAGCACACAATAAACCTACTAAAGATTTAAAGCTTGAAGGTTTTGAAGCTAAGCTTGCTCCCTCTTATCAAGTACCATGCATCCCTATTGGCCCATCATTATGATAGGAATATGTGGAAGGTTGGATGTGATGGGCAAGCTTTGACACTACTATAAGGTTCTGTGATTTGCTAATCAGAATGGCCTGGCATTCAAGGATATGTGTGGTGAGGAGAGGTGCCTGCAGGCTACAGCAGGTTGTGCTCAGGCACCTCTAGGTGCCTGCACCTTTTACTTCGTAGCAGCCTATTTAAGTAACAAAGTCAATTATTGTCAAAGGCCAACAAAGTCACAAAATAAGAAATATACTTTAACTAACTAAAGGCTTAAGATTACCTGTAGGCAAAAGAAGATTGTTACCAGATCGGTATTAGGTGATTAGAGTGTCTATGGATATCTTCATACCTCGGCAGATGTACACACTTAATAGATCAGTTTTGGCCAAAACAATGATATAATAATATGCTGGCAGGCATGTGCTTTCAACATGCTGGAAAATATTTTCCAATTATTATTTCCATCCGACAAACCAGTGCCTGGAATGTACCTCAAATACTGTTCACCAAAGCCTAAGCACAATATGATGTAGCCATTAATATTCCGGAGAATATATGGATATATAGATATATAGAGTAGTCAAATTGTGCCACTACCATCCTAAGCCTACAGAGACATTTAGAGGGAAAAGTCAGTCACCAAACTGGATTCTCTTTTACCAAAAGCCTGTGCTCCCCTGGAGAACATAGGTGCCTGGGTGATCTACTCAGCATTTTGACACATATGCATGTATGATACAGGGGGACTAATTTGCAGTCTGATGTGTGATCTTGTTAGAAGTTCACATGTCCATTTGCTGTCTTATCTATTACTGGTATTTATATAGCGCCAACAGTTTACGCAGCTTTTTACATGGTTGCACATTCACATCAGTCCCTGCCCTCATTCATTGTTCTATGACAATACCATATGAACACTTCTAAGAGGGTGAACATTTTTTTACAAAACCACTATACATTACCTTTAAAGACAGTAAAAAAAATCACATCAAAACTTTTCTAAAGTTACACTCTAATGTAATAATTTTAAATTTAAAGCTGAAGTGTAGTGTATGCACATATTACATTCCCTTGCCTCCCACCTTGATCAACATGCAATTAAAAATGTTCAAATCAAATAATTTTGTCTTTCAAGAAATACCTGTTTTAAGACCCGGTGACATAATCAATGGCTCTGCTTAGCGCTCTGAGTTTTGCAGGAGGGGCCGAAAAGGCTTCTGTAAACATCACAGCATTCTGCCCCTATTCTATTTCAAAGCCATTATATGAAAGAACACATGCCTAGGATCCCTTTAGATGTGCCTGCTTCTCCCTGCTGGCCACTGGGTGCTGCAGAATTTAGCTGTAGAGATTGCTGATTGGTTAACTGGTTGCAGGCAAGTCTAAAGGGATGTCAGGAGTGTGCTCATTCACATAAAGCTTAGGAACAAAATGACTATTGGCAGAAAAAGTTAATAGCTGTGAGAGGGGGGCCAGTGACTGTATAATGATGGAGGTTGATCAGACGGGAAATGAAGATGGATTCAAGATAGCTGCTGCAGCTTCAAATGGCTATATTGTGGGAATGGAAGGTTACAGTTTACTTTAAGAGTAGTTTTTAACACAGGCAAGCATTTGCTACATGAGTGGGAAAAAAAGATAAGGATGGAGCAGGGCCGGTGCTAGGATTCTAGGCAAGGTAGGTAAGGTGCATTTTTGCGCCCCCCCCCCCCACCCCCCCCACC